AAAAATTCCATTTTTTACATTTTTTCTCTAATTATGTGGGTTAACCCTTATGAAAAAAGCTGAATTTTCCGTTAAATACTATATATACTATTTACCATCTTTCGTGTTGTTTAAAAAATACCTAAACGCAATCCAAATTTTATATATGTTTTCTAAACATAACTTTATGGTACATGGACATCATTTTTAATTTTCCAATGATTAATTTATTTAACATTCATATATCACTTAATATGTGGATTAACCCCTATAAAAATCCTATTTTCTAGAGAAATAGAAACATTTAAGGTCTCAACCCTATTTAATATTCATACTATGTCAACGTATGATGCAGCTACGGATTAAAACTAAAATTCCATTTTTTATATTTTTTTCTTGAATTATGTGGGCTAACCCTTATGAAAAAGCTGAATTTTCCGTTAAATACTATATATACTATTTACAATCTTTCGTGTTGTTTAAAAAATACCTAAACGCACTCCAAATTTTATATATGTTTTCTAAACATATCTTTATGGTACATGGGCATCATGTCTAATTTTCCAATGATTAATTTATTTAACATTCATATATCACTTAATATGTGGATTATCCCCAATAAAAATCCTATTTTCTGGAGAAACAGAAACATTTAAGGTCTCAAACCTATTTAATATTCATACTATGTCGGTGTATGATGCAGCTATGCATTAAAACAAAAATTCCATTTTTTATATTTTTTCTTGAATTATGTGGGCTAACCCCTATGAGAAAGCTGAATTTTCTGTTAAATACTATATATACTATTTACCATCTTTCGTGTTGTTTAAAAAATACCTAAACGCACTCCAAATTTTATATATGTTTGCTAAAAATATCTTTATGGTACATGGGCATCATTTTTATTTTTCCAGTAATTAATCTATTTAACATTCACATTTCACTTAATATGTCGATTAACCCCAATAAGAATCCTATTTCTGGAGAAATAGAAACATTTAAGGTCTCAAACCTATTTAATATTCATACTATGTCGATGTATGATGCAGCTATGCATTAAAACAAAAATTCCATTTTTTACATTTTTTCTTGAATTATGTGGGTTAACCCTTATGAAAAAGCTGAATTTTCCGTTAAATACTATATATACTATTTACAATCTTTCGTGTTGTTTAAAAAATACCTAAACGCACTCCAAATTTTATATATGTTTTCTAAACATATCTTTATGGTACATGGGCATCATGTCTAATTTTCCAATGATTAATTTATTTAACATTCATATAAACATTCGTATATCACTTAATATGTGGATTATCCCCAATAAAAATCCTATTTTCTGGAGAAATGGAAACATTTAAGGTCTCAAACCTATTTAATATTCATACTATGTCGGTGTATGACGCAGCTATGCATGAAAACAAAAATTCCATTTTTTATAATTTTTCTTGAATTGTGTGGGCTAACCCCTATGAAAAAGCTGAAATTTCTGTTAAATACTATATATACTATTTACCATCTTTCATGTTGTTTAAAAAAATACCTAAATGCACTCCAAATTTTATATATGTTTGCTAAACATATCTGTATGGTACATGGGCATCATTTTTATTTTTCCAATAATTAATCTATTTAACATTCACATATTACTTAATATGTCGATTAACCCCAATAAAAATCCTATTTTCTGGAGAAATAGAAACATTTAATGTTTCAAACCTATTTAATATTCATACTATGTCGGTGTATGATGCAGCTATGCATTAAAACAAAAATTCCATTTTCTATAATTTTTCTTTAATTATGTGGGCTAACATCCACATATTTCGAGAAAAATAGAAAATATGAAATTTTTTGTTTTAATGCATATTTGCATCATTCACTGACATAGTATAAAGATTAAAGAGGTTTGAGACCTTAGGTTTTCATGTTTCTCCAGAAAATAAAATTTCTTTTGTAGGGGGTTTGTCCACTTATTAAGTGGTATATGAAATTTAAATAAATTACATGTTGGAAAATTTAAAATGATGTCCATATAGTAGGTAAATAAGCTTGTCATACATTAATATAAGTTTTGAGTGTGGTTAGGTATTTTTTAATAGCACGAAAGAGCTTAAACTTTAGTAGATATAGCATTTATTGGAAAACTCAATCTTTTCGTAGGGGTTAACCCACATATTTCAAGAAAAATTAGAAAATATTTAAATTTTGTTGTACTGCATATTTGTATCATTCACTGACATAGTATGAAGGTTAAAGAGGTTTGAGATCTTAGGTGTTCATGTTTCTCCAAAAATAGAATTTTTGTTATACGGGGTTTGTCCACTGAATGAGTGGTACATGAAATTTAAATAAATTACATGTTGGAAACTTTGAAGTGATGTCCATGAACCATGAAAATAATTTTAACATACATTAATACACATTTATAATGTGATTGGGCAATTTTCATCAACAATAAAGAGTCTAAACTTCTTAATATAGCATTTGTCGAAAAACTTAATTTTTTTTTGTAGAGGTTAACGCACATATTTCGAAAACAAAAAAAAATATAAAAAAAAAATTTTTAATGCGTATTTGCATCATGCAGTGACATAGTACGAAGGTTAGAAAGGTTTAAGACGTTAGGTGTTTTTGTTTCTCCATAAAAAGAGTTTTTGTAGGGGTTTTTTCACTGATTAATTGGTATATGAAATTTAAACAAATTACATGTTGGAAAATCAGAAATGATTTCCATGTACTAGGTAAATAAGCTTAACAAACATTAATATAAGTTTTAAGTGTGGTTATGTATTTTGAAATAGCGCGAAAGAGGCTAAACATTAGTTTATATAGCATTTATGGAAAATTCAATCTTTTCGTAGTGGTTATCCTATATATTTCAAGATAAATTAGAAATTATGATATTTTTGTTTTCATGCCTAATTTCATCATGGGCTGACATATGATGAAGATTAAAGAGGTGTGTGACATTAGTTATCCATGTTTCTCTAAAAAATACAGATTTTATAGAGGTTAGTCCTCTGAATTAGGTGAAATATGAAGTTTTATTAAATTATTCACTAATATACTAGAAATGATGTCCATATGCCTTGAAAATAATTTTAACATACTTTAATACAAATTTAGAATGTGAATAGGTAATTTTCATCAATAATAAAGGGCCTAAACTTTTTAATATAGCATTTATCAAAAAACTCGATTTTCTGTAGGGGTTAATCCACATATTTTGAGAAAAATAGAAAATATAAAAAAATTTGTTTTAAAGCATATTTGCATCATTCACTGACATAGTATAAATGTTAAAGAGGTTTGAGACCTTAGGAGTTCATGTTTCTCCAGAAAATAAAATTTCTTTTGTAGAGGGTTTGTCCACTTATTAAGTGGTATATGAAATTCAAATAAATTACATGTTGGAAAAGTAGAAATGATGTCCATGTAGTAGGTAAATAAGCTTATGATACATTAATATAAGTTTTGAGTGTGGTTAGGTATTTTTAATAGCACAAAAGAGCCTAAACTCTAGTAGATATAGCATTTATTGGAAAACTCAATCTTTTCGTAGGGGTTAACCCACATATTTCAAGAAAAATTAGAAAATATTAAAATTTTGTTGTAATGCATATTTGTATCATTCACTGCCATAGTATGAAGGTTAAAGAGGTTTGAGACCTTAGGTGTTCGTGTTTTTCTAGAAAATAGAATTTTTGTTATAGGGGGTTTTTCCATTGAATGAGTGGTATATGAAATTTAGATAAATTACATGTTGGAAACTTTGAAGTGATGTCCATGTACCATGAAAATAATTTTAACATACATTAATACACATTTATAATGTGATTGGGTAATTTTCATCAACAATAAAGAGTCTAAACTTCTTAATATAGCATTTGTCGAAAAACTTAATTTTTTTTGTAGGGGTTAACCCACATATTTCGAAAAAAAATAAAAAATATGAAAATTTTGTTTTAATGCATATTTGCATCATGCAGTGACATAGTACGAAGGTTAGAAAGGTTTAAGACGTTAGGTGTTTTTGTTTCTCCATAAAAAGAGTTTTTGAAGGGTGTTTTTCACTGATTAATTGGTATATGAAATTTAAACAAATTACATGTTGGAAAATTAGAAATGATGTCCATGTACTAGGTAAATAAGCTTATCAAACATTAATATAAGTTTTAAGTGTGGTTATGTATTTTTAAATAGCGCGAAAGAGGCTAAACATTAGTTTATATAGCATTTATGGAAAACTCAATCTTTTCGTAGTGGTTAACCTATATATTTCAAGATAAATTAGAAATTATGATATTTTTGTTTTCATGCCTAATTTCATCATGAGCTGACATATGATGAAGATTAAAGAGGTGTGTGACATTAGTTATCCATGTTTCTCTAGAAAATACAGATTTTATAGGGGTTAGTCCACTGAATTAGGTGAAATATGAAGTTTTATTAAATTGTTCACTAAAATACTAGAAATGATGTTCATATGCCATGAAAATAATTTTAATATACTTTAATACAAATTTAGAATGTGAATGGGTAATTTTCATCAATAATAAAGGGCCTAAAATTTTTAATATAGCATTTATCAAAAAACTCGATTTTCTGTAGGGGTTAATCCACATATTTCGAGAAAAACAGAAAATATGATTTTTTTGTTTTAATGCATATAAGGTTAAAGAGTTTTGAGACCTTAGGTGTTCATGTTTCTCCAGAAAATAAAATTTATTTTGTGTGGGGTTTGTCCACTTGTTAAGTGGTATATGAAATTTTTAATGTTGTTAGATTATTTAAATAACACTAAAGAGTCTAAATTTAATTACAAATAGCATTTATCGGAAGTTGTAAGAGAACTGAGAATCTGGTACAGATTCAAATCAAAATCAAAAGTTAAAACATATAACTTAAACAGAACAGAAGGAAATAACACTAGGAAAACTTGGGAAGATGACCCAAATATCAAAGAGACCAAAACATATCACATTCGCTTACAAGCACATGCCTTTGTTACTTAATTATTACTTGGTGAGGACACTAGGACTTACTGTAGCGTAAACGAGCAGCTCATCATCATGCTCAAACGTAGCCATGTCCATTTCTGGTAGTGTCACCCATGCCTCTACCCCTTCACCATCCTTTGCGTCCATTAACACAGCCTGAGTCTTGCCAACGAAACCTGGAGCAACCCAAACCGGAAACCCCCAGCCAAAATCTGCATCGTAAAACGACATTCTGCACCAACTAGACACAGCATATGTCTCTGCCTCAGGACTTACCTCACACAAAAAGCTCAGCATGGCGCTTATGATTCTCTCTTTTGCCACATCACTATTATTATTCGACTCTTCTGAATCCTTTGTGATCAGATCATTGAGATCTTCCTTAGTCTTTCGCAGCTTTGACACCGTTTCTTGAATCTCCATATTACTCTCTGATGTCTCTTTGACTAAAGGTAAAAAGAAAAAGTTTCCGATTGCCTTGCGTGGCAAGAAAGATAAAGGAACTCTAGGGCGCAAGTTCATCGTATGTGTTATAGCAAACTCCGTGACCTCCTCTGTCTTCGACCGTCTCGCATTTGTTATACACCTTAACAGCAGGGCCGTGATGGACTCGACACGAGTCGCTTGTGGCACAAGTAAGCCACATGAAGCCCTGCTTTTGAGCTTTTCAAGCATCAAAGTACCAAAGACAAAGCTCTTTGTCTTAGATTTTGTTTTGTGTTCGAGTAACGGAGGAAACACGACAGAGATATCAGCAGGAGGGTAGAAAACTGACGCCGCGAATTCAGGATTCACGGTGTCAGCAAACCCTTTCGCAGCTTTTGTCCAGCTGCGAACAAACATCGACAACGAGGCGGCATCACATATCTTGTGAGAGATACTAACAGCAACCGCGAAGCCTCAGTCTCTAAAGAAAATGACCTTGACATGCAACAATGGCCAGGTTCCTGGATCTGCAAGGTCTGGAGAGACAATGAGTTTGTGAACCAAATCAGCGTCTGATGGGTTTCTCAAAACATCCGAGAGAAGTATATGGGCTCGTGCCTCTGTAAACAAAGCTTACTCGTCGTTGCAATCGACGGTTATGCCTTCTTTGATACGTCCAGCAAGTGGATAAAAGAGGGACAAAGTTTGAGAGAGTGAGTTCTTGAGCGTATGGACAAGAATCGGTTCTTGGTTTGGTTGATCATCGTAGAAGAAAATGGCTGAAACGTATGTTGTAGGAAGAAACTGATCAAAGAGAGAAAGATGAAGAGCTTGGAGATGATTGGGTGAATCAGGTTTGATCACTTCTTTGCTTAAGATTTCTAGTTTCATATTGTTTTTTCGTTTCCGACAAAAGATTGAAAAGTGTTGCTTAAATCCATACTATGCATGTTACAAGATATAGGCGTGAATCTAACACGATGAATCTTAAAAGTCATTATATGGTTTATGGTTGTAGTGGTAAATATTACTTGTTTTGTACGAAGGCAATGACTTTTAAGAGCACAAGAAAGGATAAGTTAGCTAGCGGGTGATCTTTAGTACTGTTTACTTATGTTGGTTAGGCACCGCTGTTGTTTTTTTTCAACGCCAGGCCGATTGGTTTTCAGAATGGTACGTACCTTTTCCTGTATGTTGAAATTTATGGCTATATTACATGATGCCTGTCGGAATAAAGCAAATGTGTATGCATGTACATCAAATTTCTAAAAAGGGAAAGTACATCAGAATTCATGTGTAAGATTTGAGAAGTTACGTAAACACCGCTTATTTATGCATAGTTCTACTTTCATAGTGAATTTGACGTACCAAATTTTAACGAATTTACGCTGTTCCAATTGTAATGGAATTACTGAACAATTCGTAATACCGAATGTTAATATTTAGTAGATCTGTTGCTTTTTGCAGATTGCTATATCTAAAACATATGGATGTATGTACTTACTATATGAAAAGGAAAGTGTCATAAAATAGAAAATGTAGTTATTTTGAAATTTATTTGGTTTTTATACTAGTCAAACGTAGAAATGTGTTTTTTCACAACCACTTTGCCTCTTTGCATATATCTATATATTCTCTGTTGTTTTCAACTGATTTGAAGTTTTAAGTTAGCTTTGGATAACAATTTGAATATTTATAAGTTATCAGAATGATTTTTATGGTTGATTCTCTAGTTTTAACTGATTACTATGGAAGTCACAACCTGATCTTCCTAGCTTCACAAGTTCCTCTCTTAGAGTTGATCATGGAATCTTAAGAAGTTATAAATTCATAGTTTATATATTTTCAAAATGTGATATATTTCATTACATCATGTAAAGCACAAGCCCTTACATTTTCATGATATTTTTTCCGTTCTTTTATAGTCGGATTATTAATAGTTTCAACAAACTGAGACATGCGGATAAGATGATCACTCACGACTTATTGACAAAAGATAATTATTAAATATGATTAAGCAGTTTAGTCCTCGTCCTCCTCTCCGGCGTCATCATCATCCTCCTCCACATCCTCCGCTGCTTCCTCAGCGATGTCGTCCTCCAAAGCATCGAACCCCTCCGCTAACGCCACACCACCAAGAACTCCGGCCACCGCCCCAACCGCCAGCCCCGTCCCCATCCCACCGAACTTGCTCTCTTTCTCTTTCTCCGCTGTGTACCCCTGCTGTCCGTACGTCTGCGGCGGCGCGTAAGGGTCACCGTAAACATGTTGCGGCGGCGCGTGAGAATATGTCTCACCATAAACATGTTGAGGTGGCGCGTGAGTGTAACCGTACGGCGGCGCGTGGTAAGCCGGTTGATACCGAGGGTCTCTGACGGTAACGGTGACGTCGAGTTTGCCGTGTGGTCTGCCGGAGGGGCGTTTGAGTTTGAGTGTTTTCTCCAAGGGGACACCAAAGCCGACGTCATCGATGACGTCATTGAGTTTGAGATGAGCGGAGCCGATGAGTGGCTTTGTGTTCTCTTCACCTCCTGCGTGCACCACGTCTATGTAGACCTTTTCATCCTCGTCGCCGTCGTTGCTCGGAGGCAGAGGGATGACAAAAGTCTGGTTCCATGAGGGAGACGTGTCCTCCTCCTCGTCGACTCTGGTGGAGTATTTGTACTTTGGATCGATCCATACGACGGCGTATGGCTTGTTTGGACCGTTGCGCCAGTTCACGTTCTTGATGTTCTTTGCTGATGAGATTGTCACTTCCACTTCTCGACCACGGGACGACATTTTTCGAGTTGGACCAAAGAGTTTTGAAACTGAGGGATGGTGTGTGAAGTGCAAGTGTTGATGTCTATTTATAGTATCTATATGGGTGTATCAAGAACGTTCGATTGCTTTTGATCAAGAGTCTAGATGAATTCTTCTACTTATTGTTTTACGATTTTGTCCACTATATAGTGCATGACCATAACCATGCCTGTAAATATTATTTATTTTTTATATTTGGATATTGTATAGTTTAAACGAATACTTCATAGTTTGTAATATATACTAGTTTAAAACCCAAAAAGTGTAAGAGTAATGCTGTGACTTGTGAGCAGTCAAAGACTACAAAAGTTTTGTCCAATGATGATTAGTAACTTATTCTATATTTACTCAAAACAAAAAAAATTATATAAGTTCACCACAGATGTCGTAGTCCAGTTGGTTTAAACGCAGACGTTGGTGCTGTTGCGTTCCTAAGTTCGATCTACCATGGAAAGGATACTTTACGCTATGGATTTTGTCTGCATAGTATCAGTGTTCGCCGGATTCCGGATCTGAGAGATTATAGGTTTTGTTCTCAAAACTTCCAGATAAAAAAAAAGGAAAATGATATAAGTAAAAATAGATTTCACTTTAGTGTATTCTTGTAAAATAGATTTCACTTATTTCTTTATAATAAATTTCTCTATTTTTGAGGAACACATTATAGTGAAATTCACCTTTTCTATAAAATTTGATATACAAAAAAAATTGAAAATGATCTTAGGAATCGTATGCTTGTGAGTGGAATATCCTAGAAGAGAAGGTAGAACCTAAAAGGAATAATCAGAACACGGAGGCAACACGTCCATTTACTTGGTCCGGTTCATCTATAGTCTACGCGTTATGTCGCCATCGCCCACCGATTTTTTTTTATAATTAGACAAGTATTTTTAAAATGGATTCTCTTGGAAAGTTTGATACACATCTGCTGATATAAGCATAGGCCTAATCAAACATAGTTTCAGATATCAGAACCATGTGTGGTGTGTAGATAATATGGTGCAAATCTTTCTTTAATTCAAATGACCACTTTGTTATCCAACTAAAACGTTAGAATGGGCTACATACACCATTAAGATAAGTCTTTGAACAACGACATGTCCATCTCTAACAATGCATACTTAGGTCCTTACCCTATATATTTCATGCTTGTTTAACACATCACACAATCAAGACCATAACATACAATCTAAGGGCATGCGCATCAACGAACCCGTGTTGGTGTTCATGATTTTAATTTTTTATTATTTTTTTTTCTTTGACTTTAAAAAAAATGGACCAATAGCGGACCGTCACGTGGTTTGGGATCTACAAAACATCCATGAACCAGTTCATCAGGAGCAAGCGTTACGAGCCGAATTCATCAAAAGTAATTATTATAATATATATTTTTTTAATGGTTTGTGCAATGTGCTTAGGTTTGCATTGCAATAGAACATAAAGTTTTTCAAAAAAGATTAACATACTTTTCACAATTAAAATAATAAAAGTAATAGAAAAGATGGTAATATCTCATTTGAGAGATTCTTATGCGTTTGTAAGAAACTCAAACTCTACATACCATTTAGTTAGTGATCAATAATTTTATAGAAAGCACAGATCTTCTTACATAATAAGAAACTTGAGATATATTCTGAAGCCATATCTAGTAAAATTTGATCACTTTCTCAATTAAGGGTGTTTAGTACATTAACTCAAATTAGTCTTCTAATTTGTTTTATTAACCTTCTTTAGGGTCTCAAAATCTTCCACAACACTAGAGGTTTCAAGCAGAACACTTGTCAATAATCTGACACAAAACAAACGACTAGTATATCTCTTTATTTATCTTTTTCTCTCTTTTTCTCATAGGTGAAAAAAATAATTGTATGGCCCAGAAATAGATAAGAATACAGAGAAGGTTAACCACTCCATATCTACACTTTATTTCCTCACCAAACCAAACACAAAACCCTCCATCTCTTCTTACACAACTTGTAACAGCTTCTGAACAACTCTTGAAACCAAAGACTTCTCTAATGTCGGAAGAGATACGAGAGCACGGTGGTCACACCATCCCTAAACCTTCTCCACCTCCGCCAAAACGTGGCCTCATCAGCCGCAAGAGACAGCTCGTGTTTCTCTCGTTCATGATTCTACTAGCTGCTAAAGGACTCGTTGGAATAGGAGAAATAGCGTTTGTGATACTATCTTACATCTACTTGTATGAGTTCATCTCCAGGTTTGCCTTCCCTCGCAAGCAAAACGAGCAGAAGAAGAGACTCTCAAACCCTAAAAACAAACTTTTTCAAGTTTACTTCCTCGCCACTGCCATCATCGGTTCTCACTCTCTCCTTACCTCATCTTTGTTATTAACGTTTTTATTTTCCTATAAATAGTAAAATTCTCTCTCTCTTGATCTCAGGCCTACTCTTCCCGATTTGCTATATCGGAGATGGACTATTCCGAGGAGACATTCACGGTGTAAGAGCCGCAGCTCCACATCTCTTCCTCCTCTCAGGTCAAGCCTTCACTGAACCCATTGGTTTCTCTGACCGCTTTGCAACGCCCATTGGTATTCTTGGACCGGTTTTCTACAACGCTCGTCGTCTCTTTGCGCTTTTGGATTGGGTTAAAGCCGAGTTCACAGATACTCAACGTCCCGGTGGTCCGGTAAGATTGTATGGAGGAAGAGCCATTGCTTCGGTTAACACTGTCATGTGGTTTTATAATCTGTTTGGTCTCTTGTTGCCTGTGTTTCTTCCTCGGTCTTTTGAGATTTACTTCTCAGCCGACAACAAAGTAGATTAAGTTGTGATCTCTTTTGTCTACTGTCTACTTTAGAAGCTCTCATGTTGTGTCTGTTTAGTGCTTTTGTGTTCTTGTTTCCATCAGGTAAAGATTATTGTTAATAAAAGCGACAGTTTATGACTGCATGATTGATAAAGTGATGTAGCTAATGATAAATAAAAGAAGAGATCTGATCATTCACATTAGACAGTAGAATTGGTCACAACACAGATTCAGGACTCAAACCTTCAAACTCTTAGTTGAGCAACTACGTGTTGACCATAGAGAATGTTCTTCAGCTACTACTGGAAAAGCTCGCAAATCTCTTGCCTTAGCAATCCCTTAATCTGTCAATGCAGAATTCTCAAAGCTATTAAGACAGATAAGGACGAGAGAGACTGAAGGAAACAATGATAAGAAGCTGACCTGTTTTTCTGAGAGTCCAATATCTTTCAAGTCATCCAGCTGCAATGGAAGATATAAGAAGTTTATAAAACAACTCAAATGAACGTTGACGGTCACGTTTATGTTAGACTTACTTGCTTAAATGGTTCAGGAGATTCTTGGCGGAGTTCGACTATGTAAGCTGCCCTCTTCTCTCCAATTCCCTGTATCAACATCAATGTAGTCCGTGTCAACGAGTTAGCTCCCATACCATAAACAATCATTAAGTACTTTTAATCGAGCTAGTCATCTAACCTTCAGCTTCTTTAGATCCTCCCTGGAAATAGAACAAGAGAAGAGAAAAGTAGTTTAGATCACAAACATAGACAGGGATTTCACATTGTGTTCCAAACAGCCATGTGGATCCAGTAGAGAGAAACAAACTTACTTATCTGCTGTGTTTAAAAACTTAAGATACTCTCCAACAGCAGAATTCTGCAACATTCCAGAGAGGGAGAGAAAAAATTGGCTATCAGATATATAGAGATAGTACAGAATCCTGCCAATAAGGATACATAAATGTATTCCAAGGACTACCTTCAGCTTAGTGCTATGTGCACTGAATGTATTCCAAGGATTACAACCAACATTTGAAGACACAACTCTCTGTGGAGTAGTATTTAGCTCAGCTTCGGCAATAATACCACTATGCTCTGGTAGCTCTTCCACTTGTGATTTAGTTAAGGCAGTTTGATAATTCTCAGGCGTGGATGGTTGGTTTGAGGTATTATTGCACAGCGACTTCAAAGCCATGGAAAGTTCTCGAAGCTGCAGGCTGAGTGGTGGTGATGCAGTTTCACTAGATAGAAAGCGGTTGTTCTCTTTGTCCAAGTTTTCTCCTACTTCTGAGATGAAAGAAGCAGTGTCTAAATAGCCCTAGATATTAAAGAAGAAAATATTAGAGATTGTGTTCAAGCAGAAACTTAACAAAGGAAACAACTCTTTGAGATGCAGAGAAGTTGTAGATGGAAAAAATTACCGGTTCCATGGCTATTTCAGAGCTTGAGGAAGCTGGGACAGAATTATCCTGCAAAGAAGTCATTTTTAGCCTTGATAATTCTCATCTAGCAATAACGTTATTATATACTACCTCATCTACCGTTGAAGGCTGAGATTGAGAATCTGCAACCATTACTGAAGAACAGACTTCCTACATTACATAACAAAAGAGTTTGTAAGTAATGTCTTAGTAATATATATCCACACAGCCCCATATAAGTTTAAGCTAGCAAGGATTCACTTCTTCAGATGAGGAGGCCTGAACATTCAAGACAGCCTTTGGAGTGGAAATTTCCTGCATAAAAATAAACACAAGTGTCACTGGAGGTGAGAAAGAAATCTGAAGAGCATTGTTCTAACAGTCCATAATAAGGAGCTCTACTTTTTGCACTACCATCTTTGCTTTGCCTTCCATATACCAAATCCAAAACAAGTGTAATTAACCTATTTCTGAACATTTATTCGAATAAGAACAAGTGATGAATTACCTTCTTGGAGTTATTTTTACATTTCAATGAATCACTTGCTTCACCAAACAGTTTCCTTCAATCATTGAGAAAAAAAGATATCATCGTTATATGATGTTCTGAAACTGATAATAGAGAGATTCTGAGGCTTAGAGATGATACTAAATTAGTTATGAAATTATAGAACTTTACCTTCCTTTAACTACAGAAGCAGAAGTGTTGAGCTTAGCCTTTCTCTCTGTCATACTTCCCCTTATCCCTGTTTGTTGCCTAGAAGTAGCAGACACATCCAAAAGTGTATGTTTCTTTTGAGCGACAGAGGATGATGCAATAGATCTTGCAGGACCGTTACTCTTCGTAGCAGCATTAGTCATAGCTTTTTTACTGCCTAGACAGATCCGTGATGCTAAGTTTAGCATGTAAAATGAGTCTTGGCTAAATTCCCGCGGCTGAAACAAGAAACTAAATGGTTAGCATTGCTTGCAGTTAAACTCAACATCCAGTAAAATATATACCAGACAAGTGATCAGCAATGTTCTGTTGCTTCCTTGTAAACAATCTTTCAACATATGAGTGAGTTTGCTCTCCCTGTACGGCACATGAGACTCATTTGCGTTGAGAGCATACAAGACATTTTGCAAAGCATATATCGACTTATTTATCCTAGTAATCTCTAAAGCAGCTAGATCATTGCATTGTTTCCTAGAGTCCTCATAACCTGCCAGAGGAAGACAAAACAACACCCATCAGATGCTAACATAAGACACACAGAATAATACAAAAACACTCAACCTGCCATATCAAGAAAATTCATCCTCCCCAAAGTAGCTTCACCCTTAGCAACATGTATCATCACACCTCTATGGCTCCTAACAGGAAGGTCATTGACCACCTTCTGTATTTTGTTGAGACCAAAATACACCTCTTGAAATCCTGAGAGTGACTTCACAGGTACCTAAAACCAAAAAACTTTGATTCATTAACCAGCAAACACACAAATAATATACCAGCACTCCACTAAACGACTTACCTTGGATAGTCCCTTTAGTTGAATCTTCCCTTGTCCACCTTCCATTACAAAAACCACTCGCTTCTCTTGCTCCAACATCTCATACACAACTTCTTGAAACACCTCGTAAAACGATACAAAAATCAAGTATCCTCTCTCCTCAGCTATTGATAACATCTCAGCCATTGCAAGGATAACCAAACCAGGCTCCCACTCAGATCCCTACACACATAACTCAAATCAGCATTTTCATCTAACCTTTGGATGATTAATTCATTTTCAAATCAATAACCTGAATAAGAAGTGTTTTCCCACTACTTCTTCCTCCATTCGCAATCACATTAACATCTCTACCCTCAAAAACACTAGATATCATAGGCTTAATCTCCTTAACGAGAATCGAGCTCGTGGATTCGTTATCTTCATACAAATGATCCAATTCACATGACTCTTTCGAACTGCGACAGCGTCAATCAGATCAATAAGAGATTCAGAGTGAAAAATCAGTGAGGTGAGATCGAATTTTACCCGGCGAATTGAGCTCTGAACGAAACCGAAACCGTCTCCGATTGATCTCGCTTGTGAACTGATATAGATGAAGCTGAAGAGGCTTGTGCAGTCGGATCCGACGACGGCTTAACCCTAGCCACCACGCGTACAGCTTTACTCATCGATTTCGTCGTCTCCATCTATCAGATTTGAGCCGTTACAGATATTTTCAAATTTTTTTTTTCTTTTTTTGCGATTAGCTCTGGCGCTCCTTCGGTAACTCAAGACTAGTAGGTCCACTAAACTGTTAACTAAACGTCACCGTTTTCAATAGTTTGTCGTAGGGCTGAACATCCGGATACCCCATTGGATATGAATACTATCCATTTGGATATCGATTTTTTTAGATTTTGAAAAATAGTCTCATTTGGATACTACAAAAAACCAGGTCGGATTCGAGTCGGATACTCCTAGATTCGGATGGATTCGAGTTTTATCCGAAATAACCAAATTACTCGATTCGACTAGAATATTTTAATTCAAACTACTCAGACTTATTCAAACAACTTAAAACTCTAAAAATACTCAATTTATATTAGTTCGAATTGCTTATTTTTTTTTGTCCGAATGTAACTATGGATATAAAGTTATTGAAGATCTTTTTATCCAAAATATTCATTTTCATTTATAAATACCCAAAACAACCAAAATAACTAATATATTTGGTTTATAATTTTAATTTTAGATATTAATACTATTATAAATATATCTTAGAATAATATTTTACATATATATTTATATGTTTGTGTACTCATTCGCTGCACCAAATTTAGTTTTGGTTTTTCGGATTTTGAAAATAGTCATTTTCAGATATTTAAGCAGGATCCGATTAGATAGATATCCTATTTTCGGGTAGATATTTTGAGTATGGATATTATACCAGCTGGGTCTGATAATAGAGACCGGCCCATATGAAGCCCAATAGTAATATTAGGGTTTTTTAATAATATAAAATGACCTGATATCACAGTCCCTGAGAAGAAGCCCTAGACATTTCTGTTCAGCCGTTGGAAGAAGAAGAAGATGAAACATAACAATGAGATCCCCGGATCACACTTCAGGAAGCACTGGCAGAACAAGGTTACGACATGGTTTAACCAACCTGCTAGGAAAATCAGGAGAAGAGTAGGTCAGTAGTTACATCAGTGTTTTTTGTAAGATAGTGTTATGTAATGTTGTCTCATTGATAGACTCTTTTATGTGTGATATTGATGATGATGTGTAGCGAGACAAGAGAAGGCAGTGAAGATCTTCCCTCGTCCAACCTCTGGTTCTCTCCGTCCTGTTGTTCATGGACAGACTGTTAAGTACAACATGAAAGTCAGAGCTGGAAAAGGGTTCACTCTTGAAGAGCTTAAGGTTTGGTTTTGTTACGTTTCATTTTTTTTTTTGAAATATGTAATGATGGAAAACTAATAATGTTTGGGTTTGCTTTAATTAGGCTGCTGGTATTGCTAAGAAGATGGCTCCAACGATTGGAATTTCTATTGATCACCGTCGTAAGAACCGTTCCTTGGAGAGTCTTCAATCTAACGTACAAAGGTTAAAGACTTACAAGGCCAAGTTGGTTGTGTTCCCTCGCAGATCACGTGTTGTCAAGGTACCATACATTCTACATTGAGATGTTATGAGTTTTTGTTATGTAATGATAATTTTGGTGACTTTGTTGTTGTTTTTTTGAAGGCTGGTGACTCTACACCAAAGGAGCTTGCTAATGCAACTCAAGTGCAAGGAGAGTACATGCCTATTGCTAGAGAGAAGGTTGCGATGGAGCTTGTTAAGGTGACTGAAGATATGAAGGCATTCAAGGCTTACGACAAGATCCGTTTAGAGCGCACTAACAAACGCCATGCTGGTGCCAGAGCCAAGAGAGCTGCTGATGCTGAGAAAGAAGAGAAGAAATAAGTTTGTGCATGCTTAAGAATTTTAATACATTCTTGAATTCTTCTTGATTTTGTGGAAGACTTTTTTTTCGTGGGATTCATCAATCCTGGTTTTTGCTGGTTTTATGGAAAGAGATTATAATCGTTACACATAATAAAAGTCAAAACATTACTGGCTTATCAATGGTGATTTTTAAACGTGATTATTCTCTATTATGAAGTGTTATTGTATTTCCTATGAATGAATCATACCAAGGCAGCTGTAACATGTTGAACTAGAATTTAGATGTTAAATTAATATAGTTTTTTGCTTATTAAATAAATATTTTAGAAATTTTTACTTTGAATTCTATTTTGACAGAATTTGTTAAAAAAACTACTATTTTACGATTTGTTCAAGCCAAAACAAACATAATATATCTATCATTATCATTTCTTTAACACAAACCTAGTATGTTTTTTTGTTGTTGAAAGAAACCTAGTATGTTTCAAAATAAGTTGTTTAATCATCGGAGTTTTGCTCCAACAAGTCCATAAATGGATCCAACAAGAGCCAAGACAGAGACGAGCAAGCAAACTAAGCTGAAAGATCTAAGAAGAATCCATTGTCGCGTCCAAACTGGGATCCTTCCTGCTTCTTCTGCAATATATACACATCTCCAGAGGGAAATACACAGCCAACGGCCAGAACCCAAGTGCCCCCAAGACTCCAATATATTTGGTTTATAATTTTAATTTTAGATATTAATACTATTATAAATATATCTTAGAATAATATTTTACATATATATTTATATGTTTGGATATGTTTGTGTACTCATTCGCTGCACCAAAATTAGTTTTGGTTTTTCGGATTTTGAAAATAGTCTTTTTCAGATATTTAAGCAGGATCCGATTAGATAGATATCCTATTTTCGGGTAGATATTTTGAGTATGGATATTATACCAGCTGGGTCTGATAATAGAGACCGGCCCATATGAAGCCCAATAGTAATATTAGGGTTTTTTAATAATATAAAATGACCTGACATCACAGTCCCCGAGAAGAAACCCTAGACATTTCTGTTCAGCCGTTGGAAGAAGAAGAAGATGAAGCATAACAATGAGATCCCCGGATCACACTTCAGGAAGCACTGGCAGAACAAGGTTACGACATGGTTTAACCAACCTGCTAGGAAAATCAGGAGAAGAGTTGGTCAGTAGTTACATCAGTGTTTTTTGTAAGATAGTGTTATGTAATGTTGTCTCATTGATAGACTCTTTTATGTGTGATATTGATGATGATGTGTAGCGAGACAAGAGAAGGCAGTGAAGATCTTCCCTCGTCCAACCTCTGGTTCTCTCCGTCCTGTTGTTCATGGACAGACTCTTAAGTACAACATGAAAGTCAGAGCTGGAAAAGGGTTTACTCTTGAAGAGCTTAAGGTTTGGTTTTGTTACGTTTCATTTTTTTTTTTTTTGAAATATCTAATGAAGGAAAACTAATAATGTTTGGGTTGATTTAATTAGGCTGCTGGTATTGCGAAGAAGATGGCATCGACGATTGGAATATCTGTTGATCACCGTCGTAAGAACCGTTCCTTGGAGAGTCTTCAATCCAATGTACAAAGGTTAAAGACTTACAAGGCTAAGTTGGTTGTGTTCCCCCGCAGATCACGTGTAATCAAGGTACCATTCTGAAGATAGATGATAGTGTTTTAAGTTTTTTGTTATATAATGGCTACTTGTTGGTTTTGAAGGCTGGTGATTCTACTCAAGAGGAGCTTGCTAATGCAACTCAAGTGCAAGGAGAGTACATGCCTATTGCTAGAGAGAAGGTTGCGATGGAGCTTGTGAAGGTATCTGCTGATATGAAGGCATTCAAGGCTTATGACAAGATCCGTTTAGAGCGCACTAACAAACGTCATGCTGGTGTCAGAGCCAAGAGAGCTGCTGATGCTGAGAAAGAAGAGAAGAAATAAGTTTGTGCATGCTTTAGACTTTTTAATACATTCTTGAATTCTTCTTCTTGATTTTGTGCAAGACTCTTGTTTTCGTGGGATTTATCAATCCTATTTTTTTTCTGGTATTATGGCAAGAGATTATAATCGTTAGTCGTTACACATAATAAAAGTCAAAACATTACTGGCTTATCAATGGTGATTTTTAAACGTGATTATTCTCTATCATGGAGTTTTATTTTATTTCCTATGAATGAACCATACTAAGGCAGCTGTAACATGTTGAACTAGAATTTAGGAGTTAGATTAATATAGTTTTTTTCTTATTAAATAAATATTTTAGAAATTTTTACCTTGAATACTATTTTGTCAGAATTTGTTAAGAAAATACTATTTTACGATTTGTTCAAGCCAAAACAAACATAATATATCTATCATTATCATTTCTTTAACACAAACCTAGTATGTTTCAAAATAAGTTGTTTAATCATCGGAGTTTTGCTCCAACAAGTCCATAAATGGATCCAACAAGAGCCAAGACAGAGACGAGCAAGCAAACCAAGCTAAAAGCTCTAAGAAGAATCCATTGTCGCGTCCAAACAGGGATCTTCTTCTGCAATATACATATCTCCACAGGGAAATACACAGCCAACGGCCAAAACCCAAGTGCTCCTAGGACTCCAAGTACTTCGTTGAAGTATGGAAACAACATTGACACTCCTGTTATTATCACCACATACATCGTTCTCAGACACAACCTCATTGGACTCAGTGTCACCACTACTCCTCGTGATGATGGCAGCTTCAATTCGTAGAATTTAGTGATGAACTTGTTTTGTGGGTATCTCTCGGTTAGCCCTCTTTCCATGGCTGCAAAAATCGGCTGACTATAGACCTGAAATGCCATTTTATGTTAAAAATGTTTGGGAGATTTTAAAGCAATTATCTCATCTTTATATTTTTCTATTTAATATATAGCATTTAAAATAATTTCTATTTTTTTACTTTAATAAAATTGCTATTTTCCTTTACAAATAAGGAAAATGACATTTCTCTAATATATAATAAAAGACTACTATATTACAAAATACAATAAAGTAGGTTCCATTTTTATTATAATTTTTTAAGAAGGAAAATAACAAAATACATTACAGATTCTTTTTTTTTATAACTTCACATTAGAGATTCTTATAACGTTGGATTTCAACTGCTATATCAATAGTAACATAAAATTCTAGTATTTTAAACAATTTATTTGTTAATTATAAACGCCAACGCCAAGATCTTAAGCATTTATAGACTATAGTCAAGCAGTTTCCTATTTGTTCAAAATATTAAAACTATGGTTTACTTCGTATGATACCTGATATCCACCAACTAAATGAAGAACAATGCAAGCGTTAGCGAAATCGACAAGCCAAAATGGCTCATAGAAACCAAAACCGGTCAAGAGATTTCCCGGGGTGGCATCTCCAAATGCTGCGTAACCAAAACATCCGCAACAAAGGTAGAAGAATGTTGTGATGAATACTGCAGCCGTTGAAGCTTTCTTCATAGTTTGCTTCTCTGGCGGTGGCGATCTCAATGTATCCTGTTGTTAAAATTTACACTCTAACCGCATAAAAAAGAGGTTTCTTGATCAGCAAGCTATCATCCCATTCTCTTGTAAAAATGTTTACCTGAATCTCAAGAAGTATGATTGAGAAAGGATAAGAAAAGGCAATGTTCCCAAGAGCTTGGAACACTAACCATACTTTTGCACCTCTGTTTTCTGCTGGACTTCCTTTTACACTTCCTTCAATTTGCCTTTTTTCTTCATTTTCCACACACAAAATGTTTTAAATAATCTTTAATCTTAACTGGTTTAACTCTTCTCATCACTCGTATCAGAATCAACAAAGCAAATTAATCTAAGTAGGGGTTATTGGTTCTAGTATTATAATGGATTTAAAAGAATTCTTGGATTTTGAAATTTTTGGGAAATCCATTGATTTTGAAATCAAATAAATATATTTTAGAATCAAGGATGTAGATTTAAGAATCAAAATAACTGGATTATTATAAATCAGTCAAATGAATTTGTAATAGATTCAGTTTAGTAATAAAATAAAGAAAATAAATACTCTTGCAAATAGTATCGAACAACCCAATATGAAACTGAAAAGTTACAATGATTTTGCAAAACCGCAATTAACCACAATTTTTCAAATATTTTACTTTTAAAACATTTCTATTCAAAAACATCATTAACCAAACTTTCCAATCCACTAAGAACGTATATGAAGTCAAGATCAAAATTATACACACCCAATACTTTTTGTGATAAATCACTATATTAGAAAATATAAAATTAGAGAACTTTCAAAAGTGCACCTGAATTTTTGCTTACACATAATTTGATGATACTATGAAACATATATTTACCACACTTATACGTGAATGTATCATATATACTTGTTAGTGCTTGTTATAATTATTAGAAGGAACGTGCCAATACTTATATAAAACTTGGGGTACAAAATATTGTAAAACCCAATATTAGAAATCTAACAAAATAACAAGGTTCACCTCAGTATTTGGTCCTTTGTATTTTTAACTTAAAAACACTCACAAATCCATTCAAATCCAATTTTAAATCAAATCCTTAAACAAATCATTATTATTGAATAACACTTGATTTTAAAATCTATATTAAAATCATAGAACCAATAACAATGAATTTGAATATAGATTTTAAAATCATATAACCAATAACAGTAGATTTGATTTGTATTTTCAAATCCATTAAAATATACAAACCAATAACACCCCCTAAGTACTAGAGATAATATATCTTTTACCTATGATTCGGCCAACAGCGAGACCGAGGCCAATGGATGAATAAGCAAAAGACATAATCGCAGCGACAACAGAGAGCCAAAGCATGTCGTGGAAATTAGGTATTTGTGACATAAAGATCTGAAGCACACCGAACAAAAGCATGAAGTAGTTGTTCTTGTATCCATAAGAACATGTTGCATTGTGTCCTTTTCTATGATAACAATTCGATCTAAAAATTGCTCTGTAATGAAATGAAAGAAATACAACATGTTAATATTAAAAATAAAATATGAAATATAAAAGAAAAACGTCAGTGTATGTTTACAATTATTACCTTATGCAAGTAGCTGTCACAATGGTATAAGCAACACCCACACCAATAAGACTAATGTATACAAAGACCCCACATACAATCTGGTTCTTCCTCCCTGCATATTATATTTAACCATCTCAATAAATTAATTCACAATTATAAGGAAAAAAAAAATTGGTAACCAAAAGTTCCATGTCTTAGGGGTTATAATATTTTCTAAGAAATAACCAAAAGCTTATTTCTTACTCCCTCTGTTTCACTTTAGTTGTCATTCTAAGTTTTTGTATACAAATTAAAAAATATTTAATTTTATATATTTTCAAGATAAAAACATAATTACCTATACACCTAACCACTTTTCAATCAATAGAAAAATAGAATATTATATAAAACTAATAAATTTTACCTCAAAACTCTAAAACGACACTTAATTTGTGAAAAAAAATAATCATAAAATGACATATATTCTAAAACGGAGGGAGTATTTGCTTTCGTGGCCAGCTAGTATACAAGTTAAACTTTCTCACCCATATAAAACAAAATTTGTTGTCTTGTGAGAAAGAAATTGGAATTTGAGTTTTTGAAGTCTAACCTAAATACACTTTAACGGCTTGAGAGTAGGAGTTAAGGCGGAAGGGACCGTTCTTGGAATCAGGAAAAAGATAGCAGTCGGAAAGAAGAAAAGCAGAGACAAGTGTGACTCCAGCGAAGGCTATAAGGGCCGCAGGACCACCGATCCAGCCAAGCTCCGCCGTGGCCCAAGCCAAAGACAAAACTCCTGCGCCGATCACTCCTGTTATTATATGTGCCACGGCCGTCCACAACGTTCCTTTTTAAAATTAAGAAAACATACGTAACAATTAGAGACTATATATTAACGTGATTAATTTCTAATGATTATGGTTAAGGATTTACCTGTTCTCGCAGAAACTGAATCATCGGTTAGTCTCAAAACTGGAGACTCATTATTTGCTTTAGTCTCCATGTATATTTTTGTTAACGAAGATGAAGATCTATAATATGTCTTTGTATGTAATATATATATTCATGTGGGAAGACGACATGAAAACATTATTTATATCTTCTCGGGGAAAGAAACTCTTGTGTGGACTGTAAGACTCATATGTGTCTCTTAGTTGAATTTATTTGTAATTAGTTGTCTTCATGTGGATAATCTAATATTAGTCGATCACATCTACCATTATTCATTGACTGGCAGGCTGTTGATTGTAATGTTTGAACGGCTGTGTGGTCCATTTTCTTTTAGTAGAATGCTAAAAGAAAATTTAGCTTAGCTCACTACTTCTAGGTTGTTAATAAAGTCATTTATAATGACATTTTCCTAAACGGTAATGTCCTACCATTTTCTTTATTAGAAAATTTTACATCAAACCATAACTAGTCATTTAGAAATTGAATTGTATCCTTAACAATTGGAGGACGTTAGGTAAAGAGACCGAAAGATTGAATTCAAATACGATGTTGACCTCCATTATCCCTAAGTTCCATGCTTTTTTCTGTTATTGAATTCAAATACGATGTTGACCTCCATTATCCATATGTTCCATGCTTTTTTTTCTTGTTACTGAATAATAATGCATTAAAGATAAATGGTCTCGGCCCAAGTTTTCAGTAAGATGGGTCTGGTACAAGAGAGTCGCGAAGTGCCTTTTGGGCCAGATTATCGGCTTCTACATTGAATTCAAATACGATTTTGACCTTCCATTATCCTTATTAGGCCTGGGCATCCGGATCCTCGGATCGGGTTCGGGTCTTTCGGGTTTTGGAAATTTAGACCCATATGGGTACTTATAATTTTCGGGTCGGTTCCAGATCGGGTCTTGCCAGGTCCGAGTCGGTTCGGGTCTATAATTTCAATACATGTAAAATACTCGTAATTTTCGGATCCATATCGGGTCCGGATCGGGTCCGGGTATTTAGAATCTAAAAAATACATAACATACCCAAACTCACTCAAATTCAGTCAATATTTTTCATATATATCTAAAATTTTATAAAATAACTTAAACTCAATTATTAATAATTAAAGAAAACATTTTTAAACTCTAAATTTTACATTTTAAAATTTTATATTACTTAAAAATGTTATAAATAATAATAAATATTATTAACAAAAGATATTTCAACTAAATTATAAAATAGTATAGATATATAAAACATAACACAAAAATAAAAGTTTTGGATATACATTTTTATAAGTCAGGTACAATCGGTTCTTATCGGGTCGGGTCTATTCGGGTCCGTTCTTTTCGGGTCCGGATCTATTCAGGTCGATTTTTTTCGGGTTCGGGTCTATTCGGATAAAAGAAATTTAGACCCAATAGATACTTGTAAATTTTTGGTTCGGGTTCGGATCAGGTATTTTCGGGTCAGTTCCGGTTCGGCTCTTCGAGTCCGGGTAAAATGCCCAGGCCTAATCCTTATGTTCCATGCTATTAGAGGAAATCACACATATTAGTACAAAATACATCCTGTCATTTAAACGTATGAACTATGAACATATATATCAACTATTTTATTTTATACTTTTTTATGTGTGATGTCGATAACAAATATCATGTTTAAAATATATATATATATATATATATATATATATATATTGTATATGTTAATTTCACAAGCTATATGTTCTGATGTTCATTATATGAGTATGCCTTTCATATGATGTTAATTAAGTACTACGTCAGCAAATAATACATGACTACGTTGAATGCAAAACTTGGCTTATAACTTCAAGTTTTCCTAATTACCTTCAAATTCTCATATAGTACAATTTTCCTGAAAATAATAAAGACAAAACAAAGCGACTGTTTTTTTTACTAAAAAACAAACAAACTTGGTCCGTAACTGTAAACAAAGCAATTTGAAACAACCTTAGAAAGGTGTATTAGGAATAATGTGAAGCTGTCCGTTACACTGAAAAAAACGTCACATGTCTCACCCTTTGCCAAAAGCCACCACAAGTTTTTATCAATATATATATATACCCGAGTCTCTCTTTTATTCCCCACAGATTTTATAGAATAATTCATCAACCTCTTCCTTATTCTTCCAAGGTCCCAGACGAAATGGCACAGGTTTTGCTCGTTAACTTTTAATAAAAAAATGAGTACGATGTGTCGATGTATGATTTATCTCTTTTCGTCGTAATCGTTTTTAACTGTCATTTTTTTGTAGAAGGCAGTGATGAAGATTGCAACCATGATGGACGATAAGAGCAAGCAGCTAGCCGTCCATACTGCGTGTAGTGTCTATGGTGATTATTATAACTACTTCATTTCCTTAGTTACGTTCAACTGCAATTTAGTTCTACTTTGTGAGCATTCTTTGTTACTGCTCCTTGGTAACTTTAATCTATTTTAGATCTTATAGGAGTTATATTAAGAAAATTTGGTGCTAGATTTTGTCAGTCTAAACTGCCATTATTGGATCAAAGAGTTGATATTCTTTTAATTGTTAAAAAAAAATAGTAGGGTGTCACCTACGTTTAGAGGACAATGATATTATAGTGGGTACACATTAATGGATGTGTGAATATGATAATTATAGATTATGGGATAGTGAGATAACAAAACTGACTTGAGCGTTCATTTGGATATAAAACAATGAGTGTTTGACTAACAATGATACAATGTAGTTCTGCAATGTGGGTAGATGACTTGGTTATTGTGTTAAGCAGGAGTTGATTCCGTAGAGGCTGATCTGAATGCACAGACAGTGACGGTGATCGGTACGATGGATGTGGTTACGTTGGTAAAGAAAATGAGGACGAAGGTTGGCAAAGTCGATTTGGAAGTGGTTGAGCCGGCATAAGAGGAGAAGAAAGAATAGAAGAGAGAGGAGAAGAAGGAAGAGAATAAAGAAGAAGAACCTAAAAAATAATTAAGTAACTCATTCAAATATTATAAACCCTAATTGTTCAGTCATTGAGTAATATAAGATGTTTAATCAGTTGGTTGATACATCATATTGTAACAAAAATGTTGAATAATTTAAGGGAAAAAAGAAATTATATCGAATCCAAACACAACTAAACGAGAAGACTTCAGTTGAGGTTCAGTTATAGCTTTGATACTGGATCGATCAAAGTTGAACTGAACCAAATCGGAAGAAAAGACTGAGATAGGAAATTTATCATCTTGTTCATTGTGGTCTCTTACAATTCTGTAAACTATATAGAAAGAATCATTAATGACACAAATTTTTGTCATATGTTATAAACTTATGACTTATGATACAACATATGTAGAGATATCTTTTTGAAATATTTTAGTTTAAAACTTAAAATTTATAGTTACATAAGGTTTTTAATTGTTGTGCTAATTATTTGCACCTCCTAAATTAATGCATAAGATATATCATTTTTTTAAATTTGAGTGATGCACAATTTACAGTAGAACCTCGATAAATTAATATTGGATAAATTAATATACACTAAATATCTCTATAAATTAATATAGTTTTATAGTCTCAAAATGAATTTTTGGTTCAATTAATATATCTATAAATTAATATTTCTCTAAATTAATTTTTAAAAAATTTGGTGCAGTCATAACCTTATTAATTTATAGAGGTTTCACTGTATATTTCTTCATGATTTGTATATGAATAATCAATATGCAGTCACAGCATTAAAATATATTAGTTCAAAATGGAATTAAAATTATATTAGGCGCTGAATTAAAAAATTTATAATTACTGAATTTTAGTTTGAGTCCATCATTTTAGCACAAGACCTGGTATATTAATTTTGAGCATGTTCTATTGTTCCACCAGTTGTTATGACTAGCTTTGCTTCAGAATAATAATCTGATAAGCTTTGTTACATAATGTACATACAAAATTCCTAATATAAACATTATATAAATTCATCCATCCTGCGATCTAGTGACTATTATATGAGTATGCCTTTCATATGATGTCATTACATGACTACGATGAATGCAAAACTTGGCTTTTAACTTCTTGTTTTCCTAATTACTTTCAAATTCTCATATAGTACAATTTTCCTGAAAATAATAAAGACAAAACAAAGCAACTTATTTTTTTTACTAAAAAACAAACAAACTTGGTCCGTAACCGTAAACAAAGTAATTTGAAACAACTTAAGAAAGGCGTGGTAAGAATAATGTGAAGCTGTCCGTTACACTGAAAAAACCGTCACATGTCTCACCCTTTGCCAAAAGCCACCACAAGTTTTTATCAATATATATATACCCGAGTCTCTCTTTTATTCCCCACAGATTTTATAGTTTCTTATAGAACAATTCATCAAACTCTTTCCTTTCTCGATCTCAACCTCTTCCTTATTCTTCCAAGGTCCCAGACGAAATGACACAGGTTTTGCTCGTTAACTTTTTTAAAAAAATGAGTACGATGTATGATTTATCTCTTTCCCCCGTAATCGTTTTTAACTTTCACTTTTTTTTTTTTGGTTTTTTTAGAAGGCAGTGGTGAAGATTCCAAACATGACGGACGATAAGAGCAAGCAGCAAGCCGTCCATGCTGCGTGTAGTGTCTATGGTGATTATTATAACTACTTCCTTTCCTTAGTTACGTTCAACTGCAACTTAGTTCTACTTTGTGAGCATTCTTTGTTACTGTTCCGTGGTAACTTTAATCTGTTTTAGATCTTATAGGATCAAAGAGTTGATATTCTTTTGACTGTTAAAAAAAAATAGTAGGGTGTCACCTACGTTTTAGAGGACCATGATTTTATAGCCCTATACGGAGTGGGTACACATTAATGGCTGTGTGAATATGATAATTATAGATTATGGGATAGTGAGATAACAAAACTGACTTGAGTGTTCACTTGGATTTAAATCAATGAGTGTTTGACTAAAAATAATACAATGTAGTTCTGCAATGTGGGTAGATGACTTGGTTATTGTGTTAAGCAGGAGTTGATTCCGTAGAGGCTGATATGAATGCACAAACATTGACGGTGATCGGTACGATGGATGTGGCTGCGCTGGTAAAGAAATTGAGGACGAAGGTTGGCAAAGTCGATGTGGAATCGGTTGAGCCGGCGGCATAAGAGGAGAATAAAGAAGAAGAACCTAAAAAAATAATTAAGTAACTTATTCAAATATAATAAACCCTAATTGTTCAGTCATTGAGTAATATAAGATGTTTAATCAATTGGTTGATTACATCATATTGTAACAAAAATGTTGAATAAATTAAGGGAAAAAACAAATTATATCGAATCCAAACACAACTAAACGAGAAGACTTTCAGTTAGAGCTTTGATAGTGGATCGATCAAAGTTGAACCAAACCAAATCTGAAGAAAAGACTGAGATAGGAAATTTAGCATCTTGTTCATTGGTCTCTTACAATTCTATAACCTAATTTAGTTTATTATGCGGTATGCAGCATGACATCACATAATCATATGATTGCGAATATTTAATATGTTGATATATGTATTAGTTGTTTTCGGCGGTAAATTTCAAATTTGCTCTACAAAAATTTGGTCACATGATGATACTGTAGATTATGTCTTTATTGGGGTGTTCTTGATCACTATATACTGCGAATGTATATAAGCTAACCCAAGACGTGCTGATGAGCAACATAGGCTCAAATCCAACGAGTGTAGGTTGCAAATATCTTTTGCCGATTGAGTGGCCCCGAAGTTTTGTAAAGCGGGCCATAGATTCTCGGTAATTAGATCGGAAACTTTGTCCATTATCATGTTTTCTTAGATTAGTTGTATATTTAATTTGTGTGGAATAAAAGTTAAGATAAGGTTCGAAGATATATGAACTTCTTTATAAAATATAATTATGACAAAAGGACCTATGAAATCAAGAAAATATTTATATAGAATTTAGAAACAATGTTGAGTAACTTGGTAGGCAACGTAGGCTACACTAAACTAAAGAATCAAGCGGTTTTCTCAAACCTTTTATCAAAAAATTAACCTCTTACACTCTCCACAAGATAATAATTATATTTTGATGCTATAAAGTTACTTTATAAATACAATATTCTACATGTAACGCAATCCCATAAATCTTACAGATTCGTTCTGTACTCAATCCTCATACGATCATTAATATTAATGATCTTCCGAAATTAGCATATATATTATGATTAATATGCATTTGATAAACTTTACCATTTTACAGTAGCTATAAATCTTTACGGTTTCGATAAGAAACAAGGTTCGCGTAAAGAAATGTTACAAGTTACATAAGTAACGTATCGTATCAAATATTTATTTCTTCTCTAACCTTCTTATTAACCCCATGTGACGTCACAGGGTTGGTGCTTATTTTGTCTCCTGTAAAGGTTATGTATATAAACATTAATGATCGTGCATCGGTGAATCAATGACAATACTAAATTTAGAAGAAAAAATAAAATAAAAAGAAAGCGAGTCATTTCATAACAACGAGGAACAGAATCACTACCAAGTACTAAACATTTGCACTTCTGAATCATTCTTGATTCTCTTCAGATTCTAATCTTTAGTGGTTATACTTTGACGTCATATATACAACAAACAACATGGCCGAAGAGGAACCAAAGAAGGTGACCAAGACCGTTAACAACGTTTCAGAACCATCTCCATCTTCGCCAGCTCCAGCGCAGGAAACTGTTGTTACAGCGGTTGTTGCTCCACAAGAGAAGACTGTGGCTCCAACTCCAGTTCTTCCATCTCCAGCGCCGGCGGAGAGGAAGCTAGAGAACTCCAAGGCTCTTGTTCCCTTCGTCGCAAGTAATTTTTTTAGCACAAGTAAATTTAAAATTCAATATAAATCATTTATAAATTTGCTGAAAGAATTAAATAACATCTGCCAGAATATATATTGTCTATATCATATACCTGATTTTTTCAAGATTATTTCAAGGCTAGGAAAATAATTACCTAACTTAACCAAATAAGTTAATGACACAAAAGAGTATTTTTAACTATTTTTTGGTGGCAGAAGAAGTAGAAGAAGAGAAAAAGGAAGGGTCGATTAACCGAGGTAATAAACGAAATGCATTATGTTTTTTTGTCAACAATATTATTTTATACTACTAATATAATATGCAATTAAATGATAATAATTACAGCATCAAGTAAGTATATATCAACCTGGATCCGAGCTAAAACGTTTTCGAAATTTAGTAACTAATTGGTTTTGAAGATAAATATTTAAGGAGTTTGTATACGGAGGCGTGTGTTTACCAGTGTCTCTTATTTTCCTAACATACTGATGCTCTGATTAATTATTGTATTTGGTTAAAATATTTGGGGAGTGAAGATGCTGTCCTGGCTAGAGTTGAGACAGAGAAGAGGATGTCACTTATCAAAGCTTGGGAAGAAGCTGAGAAATGCAAAGTGGAGAACAAGTAACATGTTATTTTTGCTTATCTTAATTACTAAACTTTACATTTACATTTACATTTAGTATTTTTTTAGATTTTTTGCAATTAAACCAAAATATTATCATTAAGGTCTCTAGAATCTAGTTTTAGTAAGATGAATAAACTGTTTGATACAGAGCGGAGAAGAAGCTTTCTTCTATTGAGTCATGGGAGAACAACAAGAAAGCAGCTGTAGAAGCTGAGCTCAAGAAAATAGAGGTAAGTTTTACATTTTCGTAGTATTTTTACAAATCTAGTTTGACATTTTCAGACGTTGATGATTGTGCATGGAACTTGAAATTAACAATATAGGAACAATTGGAGAAGAAGAAGGCGGAGTATGTTGAGTTGATGAAGAACAAAATAGCTCAAATTCACAAACAGGCAGAAGAGAAGAGAGCTATGATCGAAGCTAGACGTGGAGAAGAGATTCTCAAAGCTGAAGAATTAGCTGCTAAGTACCGTTCCACTAGAACTACTCCGAAAAAGCTATTTGGATTCAAGTGATTTAATTGTATCGATGTGGGAACATGCATCTAGTGGTGTTGCTGAAATGTTTTCTTTTTCATTTATTAATTTGGGAAATAAGCCAAGATGGGTTTTCATTCGTACATTCTGGTTCGCTTGATATAATGCGTGGGTCTAATTTGCAACATAGAAATATAGAGAAACATCTTAGTTGATAAAATAACCAAATAGACCGAATTAAGAATCGAATGAATTCCAAATATCTAAAATACAGTTTATGTATCTGAAAGTATTAATTATATTTGGTTTGAAAATTACAATATATTTTAAAATACTCTTTATAAATCAAAATACTCGATCAGAAAAAAATTGACTATACAGATATCTTTATCCAAAATATTTTAACTACTTGAATTACCATAAAAAATAATCATCCAAATATTTCTAATTAAAATATTTAAATTTATTCGGAAGTGAAATTTCATTCCTACAATTATTACATGAACCAAACCGAAAAATAAATAACCAAAGTGAAATCAAACCAAATTTCATAAATAACCAAACATAACAAAAACCAAAACCTAAAGAACTGAACCAGAATTAAATCATTTTCTCAAGAAGATTCGAAATCTAAAGTTTTTGATATACTATCAATGAGTTGGCCTATTAATAATTAAAGGGATTGCGGCTGTAATTTCTGCCACTTGGATTCACTTCGCGGTGAAAAAAACTATTTACAATGTTTGGATACCCGGTAAAGACTAAAGAGGTTAAACCATTTTTTCATACAAAAAAAAAGTTTCTGATATACTCAACAGTTATGAACCACGGGACTCATGGACTTGGAATGTCTGAAAACTCAAAACTAGAGCAAAAAGAAACTGAACAAATTCAACTTAACATGCTTCAGCCTCTAGCCCAAACATATGGGCTTAAGGCTATAAAATATATATTAACAGCCCATAAGACAGAAGGCCCAAACCTAACGAAAGACAGATCTTGGGAACTAGGGTTTTGTCCGGAGCTTCATTACTTTTCAGTTCATCAGTCGCTACCTCGCCTCTCTAGCATCTCTTTCACAACTCTTTTCTTCAGTGGATAGCAGCAGCAACAACCAGTAGTAGCCATGGCTGAACAGGTTCGTTCTCTTAGTTCTCAATGTCTTGTTCTTCATCTTCATTTCTACACTCTAATAACAGTTACATCTCATTTCTTCTTTCTCTTGTTGCAGACAGAGAAGGCTTTTCTTAAGCAACCAAAGGTTTTCTTAAGCTCCAAGAAATCAGGAAAAGGAAAGAGACCTGGCAAAGGTGGAAACCGTTTCTGGAAAAACATTGGCTTGGGTTTCAAGACTCCTCGTGATGCCATTGAAGGTTTTGTTCTTTTTTAAAGATCAATTATATTCAGACATGTTTTTTTTTGTTAATGTGACTTGTTGTTGGAACAGGGAGTTACATTGACAGGAAATGTCCATTCACTGGAACTGTCTCTGTAAGAGGACGTATCTTAGCTGGTACTTGTCACAGTGCTAAAATGCAGAGAACCATCATTGTTCGCAGGAACTATCTCCACTTTGTGAAGAAGTATCAAAGGTACTTACTACGAGTGTTCATGATTAACCCTATAAGATTTTTAACATCTACTTTTAATTTTTTTATTAGGTATGAGAAGAGACACTCCAACATCCCTGCTCATGTCTCACCATGCTTCCGTGTCAAAGAAGGTGATCATGTCATCATTGGCCAGTGCAGGCCATTGTCAAAGACGGTTAGGTTTAATGTGCTGAAGGTGATCCCAGCAGGCGCATCTGCTTTTGCTAAGAAGGCATTCACTGGAATGTAAGAGTAGTTTTGCTTGGTTTTTGATGTTGGAATGTTTTGTTTAATGATCCTTTTTTTTGTCTGAGGTATTGATTGCATTACTACACTCATCTCTTTTGTCTTTGGTTTGAAATCAACTACCATTGTCTACTTTGATCAGACTAGAGAGTAAGAAAAGAGTTCCTTAATTTATGTTTCCGCTTAAATTGATTTTGAAAAATAAATAAATAAATGGTTCAAATGCATTTGGATTGCTACACAACTTTTATGTATGTAGTTAACATATGCTATAAATCAACCTAGCTGTTTATGCTAGTGTTACCACTCCAATTCAAATATATAGAAGATGATGATCAAAAAAGGTTGGAAGATTAAAGTATATAATTTTACTGATCATAAACACAAGCATATGATTCATTTTTGTTTGTTTTGGACCTTTGGTTATTCAAAATACTAGAACATTAATTTTGAATGGAATAGTATCTGTGTTAGAATAGCATAACTGTATAGTACCCTCAACTTGGTTTAAGACATCCCATGTGTGTGTGTAATGATAGAGTATAACAATTTTTTCAAAGCTCATATTCTTAACTTTGTCATATAAACAAGTTATAGATGTAATATATTAGTTCCAAAGCCCATATACTAGACTTTATCATATAAACAAGTTATAGAGTGTAACAGGTTTATTTCCAAAGCTCATATTCTAGACTTTTATCATATAAACAAGTGTTTCAAAAAAAAAAAGTTGTTTCAAACAAGCCACAAAATCTTATACCAAGTTTATGCTAAACTTTGTAAATTATTAATCTGTCTGTTTAAGAAAATCCATTTTGGTTTATCTGATTTGGCATTGCTTATTATTATTATTTTGATCAAATGACATTGTTTATTTTAGTATCGCCTGCTAGTGCCATTGTCACGGTTCATAGTTTTACAGCGAATAACGGTTTCGTGATTATGGATTCTAGATAGAATAGATCAAAGATTCCACCTATAAAAGATGTATCACGGGTCACGGCTACCAAAATTCGCAAGGCGCATTGATATATATGGTAGACGAAGGCGATGTAAATTTATTACATATGTGCCAACGTTACAAGTAGCAACTCCTTTGTTTTTGACGACCCTGGTATGTACTATTGTACATTTTTACTCGTAATCAAACAACAAGAAATTTATTTCTCAAACATGAGTCTATCGTGTAAGAATATGAAAACTTATGCTTCAGCTACTCAAATTTTCTGGTTAGAAACAACAAAAAGACTAAATATTACATTAAAAAACATAGAACACGTAAAAATCCTTTATAAATAAAAACAAGACAGATCAAAACGCCCTCACAATGCAGCAAAAATCAATCTCATGTAGGAAATTAAGAAGAAGCATCATAAATTCATAAAAAAGATACAGTAACAAGAATAATATTATGGCTTTCTTTTGCCCACGTAAACCTGCAACACTCCATCAGATCCCCCAGCCACTAGCGTACACTGGTCCACACCCGATTGCCTCCAGCAAACGCTACTCACGAACCGCTTATCCAAACCAGAAGTCATACCAACCGGTTCAAACCCGTCTACCCAAACCGGCTTCCTCCACCTCCTATCGTACACGAACACCCTGTTATTCTCCGATCCACAGCCAAACAGCGCGCCGTTTCTCCACACAGACAACCCCACGAAGTTCCGGTTATTCACGTGCCCCTCGTACGTCCGCATCACGCGCCCATCCTCCACGCTCCACATCTTCAGACAACCATCCGTACCTGCCGTCACCACCGTACCACCGTCCAAAAACCTCACATACGACACCGTTTTGCTATGTCCTTGCAAAGTCAACGCCGGGTCAACGAGTCTCCTCATATCGTACACGTACCCTCTCCGATCAGAGCATCCCACAGCCACCGCGTGTCCGCCGGAGGGATCAAACTCGACGCAGCAGACGGCGCTCCGGCAAATCCCCGCCGGCCGGACAACGCCGACAGATTCCTCCGGCGAACACCTCGGATCCCATACCTGCATAGTTCCGTCGTCCGATCCCGACGCTCCCACGGCGGCTCCGCCGCCGTGGCGAGTGTAATCCACGCTCCAGACACGGCGGCCGCCGTGCTCGTCCCGCTCGAAAACCGGCGTTCTCTTCTCGAGATCGTACTCCGTCACAACGCCGTCGTAATCACCCGACCCGATGACCCGACCTCCCGACCCGGGTCTCCACCGGAGACTACTAAGCTTCGCCGGAGTGCATATGTAATACTCACAAGCAGTAACCTGATCGACGAAGTTAACTCCTCCTCCGCCGCCGCCGTAGAGTCCGGCGGTGGTTCGTAGGAGAGAAGGGAGGGAATAAAAACGAATCTTTCTAGAGATTCCGGCGGTGGCGAGGATGTTATCAGACGGGTCGAACTCAATAGCTCCGACAACGTCGGAAGCAGAGGAGGAGGAAGAAGAGACGACAGTGGAGAGAGAAAGATCCCATTCGTGTCTCGCTTCTTCTTCTTGGTCTTGTTCTAGTTGTTCTGCTTGTTCCTGCTTTTGAGGATGATGAAGAGTGTTCATATGAAAACAGTTCTTCTGGGGATTCGGACCAATCGAAAACCAATCCCATTCAAATAAAAAATTTTAAAACATTATAAAACTAACATTCATTTTAATATTGATATTCTCCACCAGTAAAAAATGGCTTATTTACCAATCCACGTACTTTTATTATATCCGTTTGTATGGTAATGTCAAAGAAGGTCCCATTTAATACTATTTCGGGTAAAAATGTGAAAACTCGTTGTCGTGGCTACTTATATGGCCAAACATGAATACTGATGGGATCAGACACAGCTTCAGACACCCGTTCGTACCGTGAGTTTAAACTCTAACATTGTGTAAGGTTTTACATTTGTCACGGACTCGTTATATTAACCAATAGCAAATTCTAAGATCATATGCTATCGACTTGCTATGTTTTTACCAGTGACTACTCGGTAAAGGAGATTAGTTGGAGAAAAAAATATTGAAAAGAGCAAAGGGGAAGGAAATGAAAAAATCTTGTGGACAGAAAAGTGAGGAGTGGTCATACGTGTGTTAAGTACCACCTTTGGTCATTGTCCTTCCTTTTATGTCTCGTCATTGCTTCTCAGCCTCACGTCTTCAAAAACACTTGAGTTACATTCCTGGACCTACTCTACTTGAAGGACTGGATTCGATTTTCAAATTTAATGCATCCTAATTAATATCTATCCAAAACCCGCATTGGTTTCAGTAGCTACCTACAATATAAAATTCACCAACCAAAAGTGAGAAGACGATCTAAACAGACCATTAAAAGTTGTATATTATACACCTTTTCTGAATAAGAAACGTACCAACTTTATAAATGAAAGGTGATGGAAAATAAATAAATATATATCAGCATATTAATTGTTTTTGAGTTTTTAAGAAAATGAATCAAATATTTGGTTTTTGATAGTTCACAAAATTTATATATGACGTTAGAATAACATGATTACAAACGATAAAATTTGTCGATTTAGTTCATTCCTCTATTCTATAATTTGTGTTTCGTAACGATGTAATTTTTATTTCAATAAAACTTGCTATTTCTCTAAAAATAAAGGCTTATGTTTAATGAATAATGAAAAAGAAAACACTTGTTGTCCATTTCTTGTTCTTGTTTTCTTGGCTTATTCCTAATCAGGACCATGAGGGTAAGAATGAGAAATGTTGAGACTTGAGAGCCACGAGACGTTTTAGTTTATTTAAGATTGTTATTTGTGCATCTCGGTTTATGGTAGTGCACTTGAGGCTGCGGACTCTGGAACTCTTGCAGTTCACGGCGATCGATTCAAAGACAAAATTCTGGTGTTAGTGATTTTAGGTTTTTCAGAATCGTATGCCATTTTGCATAAAAACAGCATACATTGGCAATGGTATAAAATTCTTGCAGTGGAGTTCGAGCCTTGTAAGGAGCTACAAGGTGGTGATTGGTACGTTGATGGAGCTCTTGACGTTTCCAAAACCGAAGATCTCAAGAAGGTTTTTGTCAAGATACTTGAGAAGCTCAAGGACAAGGTTGTTACTCTTGATGTTATATGTCCGTGTTTTGAAAGGGTTAGTAGAGATGAGTATAAGTTGAGTAGAGCAAGCTAAGGTTATACTCGATAACTTGGTTTTGGATAATGTTATCATGGAGGTGAAGAGCAATGGGGTTAGTGAGCATTCGGCTTTGAGAACCGGTGAAGTTTGCTATAAACTGATCGGTAAAAAATCTGGTGGAGGTGAAGTAAGAGGTGGAGTTTTTGCTTCTATATACCTTGTGGGGCTTGTCCACATATAGGGCTTTGTACACCTGATGGGGTTATTTCTCCAACAACATGTGTTTATTATCAGAAGTGGTTAGACTTTTAGCTTCTTTTTTATTTTGTCGGTTTTAAGTTTTAAATTTTACTTCAGATGTAAAAATATTCTAAGGTGTTTTTGTTATATATGACTGTTGGCTAGGGAGGGATTCTTAACAATGTTATAAAGAGAACAATCTTTCACAGTTTGTTAATTTAGTAGTGAGAAATAAAGAAACTAACTGCTTAAATGCAACGTCTTCTTTTAGTTATGCATTTGAGAAACGTAGTAACATGGTAAGAAGTTCATGAGTATGCAGCATATATGATATTATGCCCTACGTGAAAGGCTAAAAAACACTATCAGATAGGAAGCAGCTAAGAGTTTCTCGAGTTCTTTCATTTTTCAATCAATCATTGATGAACATCATCAAGATCGATGCTCTGAATCAAACAAACACAAAACCCAAGAAAGTTTTCAGGTGAATGATAAAAACCTTAGATTAATCCAGCTATATAGCCACCACAAGACCCTCCCATCACACATTCCCCCATATCAGCTGTGTCAAAAACAACCGTGGCAGCAACATTAATGGACCAGAATAAACACACAAGGCCCAGATGTAATGCATTTTGTCACGAAGACAAACTGAAAATGTAGAGCTTAGAAACTTCAAAATTTACAGTTAGAGCAAAAAAAGAGGTCCTACCGGGAGTCGAACCCAGGTCGCTGGATTCAAAGTCCAGAGTGCTAACCACTACACCATAGAACCAGATGCCCTTACCATCAAAAGAAATTTAATTATTCACAATATTTTGTCAGAGAAAAGAAACATGAATGTTCTTCCTTTTTAAAAAAAAAATATCACAAGGTTCAGTGGCGTATGTAATATTAATTTCTTCCCAGCGGTCACTCGAACCAGATTACTTCAGACATAGTAGTCACAATCCTTTCAAGTTGAGCTAATGACTTCTGGTAAAAAAAAAATATATTCTTCAATTTCCAGCTTTGTAAAATAATCTTGTAGCCATCCTATTAGGATAATTTTTAGGGTAGATGGGAGAGTGATACTGTTGAAAATGGTTATTTTCCTTCTTAATATAGCTGCTAAATAAGGATTTTTATGAATTAGGATATGTCATTGCTAACACCAAAAGATTTCGAAAGAGGGCTACGTAACTCACATCAAATACAAGGTCAAGTCATTTTTTGATAAAAGAGAGAAAAAAAATGGTTTAATCGTGCCTGAACTACCAAAGAAAAAAAAAATTCTTCGTTTTTTTGTTAATATATATTCAATAAGTTTGTCTATGTATGCATGACCTAGTACATTACATTGGTTTATTACTTCTTATTTACTGTCCAAAACAGGTGCGTTATTAAAATGTGTTAATTTTCTAGCATCTGAGCAGAGATAACTTTTTTTTTCTTAACATATTTATTTAGAAAAAAAAACTTAAGATCTTTATTTAACTAAAAACTCAAAAATGTTCAAATATTTAAAGAGGAAAAATGTTGGTGCACTAAAGCTACTGGCCAACTGTACTAACGCCAAGTGAAGGAACCTTATTCAAACGTTTTGCCTAGTAGTGGATGGAGATAACCTTCATATTTAATTCATATACGAATTTAATTGAAATTTCATTAGCAAGATGATAATGGGATAATACGAACTCTCACACTCATAATATAACTAAATAAGTTGCCAAGTGTTCTATCAGATTTGGGGAAGACCAAGATCATTGTTCTTAGTTAGTGTGTTAGAAAGAAAAAAAAAGTGAAACAAATTATTTATAGAAAAAGTGGAAGAAAAGAGAGAGAAAAACACAAAGTATTGATATTATCATGTTCTTCTTTTACATGAGAGTGGAAGCATCACTCATATTTTGTCTAAATAAAGCCTTCAATAATTAGAGATATCATTCTGCACAAAAAGAAAAGAAAAACAATTTGGTACGTTTACATGTGAACCTTATCTGCCTTTTGAATAAACACTTTATACGTTTTTAAACACCAAATACTCTTCTTTGTAAATTTAATTGCAGATTCGGATTTCTTTTGAACGTTCAAATCTTATAGAGTGCAGAGTCTCCAGTTCTAACCAAACAAGAATGTAAAATAGGGAAATTACGCATTCAGTTCATATATTTAGAACTAAAAACATGAACTTATAAACATCAAAAACAAAATTCATAGATCTGAAAATCAGGTTGTTTATTTCTTACAGATGTGATATTTGTCGAGTGGGAATAACATATTCGACCAATCATATCACATTCCGTTGAATCTATCTTTACATTTTCTACTTTTTATATAGGGCCTCTAGATAAAGCCGACGTGCTCGTTATCTTCATGCATGTTCCATTTATTTTGTGTTTCTCGTTTTTTTTTTGTTGATTAACATTCATATTAAAAACAGAGAAAACAAAATATTACAAGCCGAGAAGGCTATAGCCTATAGTTATAAATGGGCAAGCCCTAGTGTTTTAAAGAATAGTAACACATATCAATAGAACTTATAAATATTGAATATCTGCATGAAATATAATCACACGTCATGATTCACGATGGACATGGTTTGCCAAAAAGTTTGGAGCATAAAGGATTCATTTACCCCGTGACGTTCGTATCACTCGATTGCGATTTCTCCTGCAGATCCTTTATCTTTTACATTCATTGGTCAGATAAAAACTTTATATTAAGAAAGGGTAAGATATGTTTATTGACAAATATCTTGTCGTGGCGACTATGTTTTCTGTGAATGTAAAAACTGTTATCTACCTAACTATACTTCTCACCTGACCAATAATCATAGAAGATGAATTTGTTTTTTAAAACGTACTGAGGTTAGTCACGATTTTTGGTTATACACTAACTGATTGTTAGTTTCGAAAAAAAAAAAACTAACCGATTGTTTGTCAAAAAAAGAAAACTAACCGATTTGGTTCAATTCGAAATATACATATTTTAAATCATTCGATTTCATATTTATTTTAACCATTACTATAATTACTCTCGCTCGTAATAATGTGTAGGATCAATATTCGAGGGACGTAAAATGAGTACATGTGACTGAGGTCGGTCGAACAAGATTTGACTCTTTGAGTTGAAGTCAGGTGATGAACCACATAAGGTTTCTTTTCTTTGATTTATTGGTAAAGGACAAAAAAAGGTGCCTTTGAATTTCCTTTATTGATGCACTAAAGGAAACATTACTTAGACGCATTTATGAAACATTATTGTCAGCTAATGTAAAGAAAGATTGTATAATCAATTTACTAGTTAGTTACACTGACACAATAATTATTTAGGAAAGACGGGATTCGGGAAAAATAATTGTTTTCTGTCGCCACGACGACTAATAGAATACTACATCCTTTTTATTAAGATACATGAGAAGAACTATTTCACAAAAAACTATTTAATGTTCTTTATAAATGTTTTATTATTTTATAATAATAAATTCAAAAAAATATAACAAATGAACTTATTAAATTACTATTATTGATAAATGATAATAAATAGTGATATATTTATTATACAACTTAATATGTTTAAACAAATAACAAAAAACTATCATTATTGTAGAACAAAGAGAGAATATGATATAAAGTTTAAATCATACTCCCTCCGTTTCATTTTAATTGTCATTCTACGTTTTTGCACACAGATTAAGGAAACATTTAATTTTACATATTTTCAAGAAAAAAACACAATTACCTATACACCTAACCACTTTTCAACCAATAGACTAATAGAATATTATATAAAACTAATAAATTTTATCTCGAAATTCTAAAACGACATTAATTTTGAAACGAATTTTTTCCTTAAAATGACAATTAATTCGAAATGGAGGGAGTATAAGACAAATTCACTTCTTTGATTTTATGTATCATCTCTAATATTTGTCTATACAATTTAAACTTTAATTCTTAGATCATCTTTAATGGGATAACTAATAAAGTTCTATTTGATCATAGATTTATTTAATTACATGCTCAAAAATAAATAAATAAAATAAAAATAGAAAGATATAATTCTAAAAATGAAAATTTTGGAACCAATTCTAAGTTAATATATACCATTTTCTGACTGGTTAGCATTTTTAAGAGAAAACAAATTTACACCCATCTTTTTTCTCTCTTTTTCTTTTTTAAAACTTAGAATATTTATTTGATTTTATTATTGGAAAGATTAAAACTAATTAAATATTTAAATTATTTAATTTTATTATTTTTAATTAAAAATTGATAGGAATTTATAAGATCATATCTAGTTGGATATGGTCTTAAAAAACCCCAATAAAAAATCGAAGAAGTGGGATTTCAGTTATTGAATAAAAATATAATTTTGTAGTGCACCATTAAATGAAATAACATTTTATGTGGTTATTTTCATCGTCAAAAGTTATTCCCCTTGTTATGATTGGATAGATTTTACTATGCGAAATTCTTCAATATAGAGGAGCAAAAAGAACAACAAGATTCACATGTATATTGATTTTACTAATTAATAATATGGGAGTTACTATTTTACTTGGATATAAAAATATATGCACTGAAAGTTTCCTTAATCTAGTGTGATTGGTCAAATGATTAATTAATGAATTTACACTAGAATATCTACGTTCGATTGTAATGAGATTTCTGGAGATTAGTGGGGACAAACAACAAAAAGTTTTACTCCTCATCCCCATATAATTGTTCACCATAGTAGGATGCCAGTAAATTCCACATACAATGAACTTTTGTAGAAAATATAGAATTGTCCGTTCATTCTAACTATGTTCGAATTTTGTAATAAAATCGTCATAGTTTAGACTAAAATATATCCACAATCAAAATGTTGGGACATAATAAATCATAAGAAACCATTCTTTTAACAACAAGCAAACACGTAAACTGATTCTTAAACAGTTAAGCTGTTGAATAAAAGGCTTTAAATGAGTTTAATTAAGTGGGTGAGTAATATCAACGGTCTATCTTATAGAAATCAGCTTTAGTGTTAGATTTGTAAACTAATTATTTACATTAACGATGGGTCAAAGACCAAATTTTATGATCAACTTCTCGATCTAATGAATTATTTAGATTTGAAAGGGAAAATATCTATAGTCCATCTAGATATTTTCATATACCATAATCCCACGGACCACTTTAATATCTTTAAAGCAAAAGCACAACAAATTTTATTACTTTAGTACTATTTAATTTTTTTAACATTTTGAAGATATTAAAAGAGCAATGAGAGTGAAAACATAACCTTATGCTTGAACGTTTCTAACCCAAACTCGTCACCGATTGATGAAATATATGGAAAACTGCATTATTTCTTTTTTTCTTGTTTACCAGGAAGGAGTCTGAACTTTGTACTCTAATCTTCTCATGCACTGCAACCAGCGTTACTAATACTAATGATTCAATGACACGATGTAAAACCATTTTTTCTATTTGGATTCAAACTAAGAGCACAACATGACTAGTCCATGCGTTTACCATGCACTAGCCTGCACATTGTTCGTTACTATTTAAACTTTGATGCTATAATCATTTCATAACCACATACCAACTCTGTGACAAAAAGAAAAACACATACCAACTAATTATTTTTTTGTAGTGTTAATTCTAGATTAGATCATCACTTATAATGTCAAAAAAAGTTAGCCCATTTTGTAACAGAATGAACAATCTCGTCATTATGTAATTGGATTAATATATGTTTTTTTTTTAAAGAAGATGGAATCGTATTTGGTGGTGGAAAATTGCAGGCTTGGATTAATATATGTTGAATCAATGTCATTTTCATTTATAACGTTTACTAGAGAGAGAAGAAACCACCCTAAAAGAATGAACTCTTTGAAAAATGAAAACCATGTGAAAGCATAACAAGTTACTAGTTAACCTAAATGGATACGTTTAAATATCCATAAAAATCCGGTCTAGACTAAAGCTATACAAATGAAGTTCATGCTATTGTTCTTTTGTCCTATTAGTTATGAATTATTGGAGTTTATTTTCACCTACTACATTATCATGTTTATCATAAACAATGATAAACTCATGACAACGATTTAAATTAACTATTTTTGAATAGATGATTAAATACGTAACTCATGGAATCACGAAAGACGCTTCAACCTACTGTCAAAACCGTATCTGAAAATGTAATACCCCCAAACAAAACAAATATTTTTATTTTGAAAAAAGATAAATTAATTCTTTAACAAGAAAAACTTAATAAACAAAGTCTCGCTTTCTAGTTAAGCAGTTTATCTCTCTTTCACTTGGTTTATTTTCCTTTCTGAAAAGTACAACAAACGTGAATTGTTATGAAACAAATGTGAAATTTGAAATCGAACATCTATCTATCATTATTTTTTTCTGAATTACTGAAGTTAGGTACGTACGGACATAATGTTAATGATTGAGAAACGGCAGAAAGTAAGAACAAAAAATTAAATGAGAAACGTAAATTTTAGTTGATAAAGTTGCTAAAAGTGAAAACGCAATATATACGCACAGTGTCACGTTAACTATTTTTTCGTAGAAACGTAATTTAAGCACGAGCCTCATAATTTTCTCTAATAAATGATGAAGTATAAGCCGTAGAAAAGTATTGTGATCCTATGTTATATATATATGTACTCACATATACTATAGGTATATGTGAAATAGGTAGAATCTAGACATAAAACCCTTAAAAGAAAGAGTTGGCCTAAACGGAAATCGACATGCATTATTTATGCAAAAGTTATATTGGTGTGGATTGGTTTTGTGAATGATTTTCTAAGGACATCTGTTTTTTCAGTACAACCACAAAGACAAAAATACTTTAAGTATATATATATATATATATATATATATATTAAATGAAATTATTATGATTCCCACAGAACATTTTTTTTATTTTCTTTTCCATACATATCCACAATCTTTCTTATGACTTCTCCCTCTATATATACTTGAAGTCTCCAGATGCTAAAGCCGTGCCATCAGCTTTTAATTGAAGAGAAACACATACAAAGCTAAAACCTAAACTCAAAAACAAAGATCGATATACATGGCTATCTTCAACACTCATAACACATGGGCCTTTGCCTTTGGCTTGCTTGGTATGAACTTATCTCCTTTTATATCATATTTAATATGGTCATAAGATTCCTAACCTACATCCAGATTATAAAACCGGTATGTGTAATAACAATATAACATTATACTTTCATTATAATCGTTTAATTAATTTTCAGGAAACCTCATTTCCTTTGCTGTTTTCCTCTCTCCCGTGTAAGTAGTTACATCTTTACCTCACAAAAACTTGAGTATCTAAATATCTCAACACATATGTTTTATGTTACTATCTCGCTAGCTAGAACTATATAATGATCATATGATATAAAACTAATTGATTGGCTCAAATTTGTATGCAGGCCAACTTTCTATAGGATTTGTAAGAAGAAAACCACAGAAGGATTTCAATCTCTTCCGTATGTGGTGGCACTCTTCAGCGCGATGCTTTGGCTTTACTACGCTACACAGAAGAAAGATGTATTCCTTCTCGTCACCATCAACTCCTTTGGTTGCTTAATTGAAACCATCTACATCGCCATATTTGTTGCCTTCGCCACCAAGCAAGCACGAGTATGTTTATTACTCATTACCAATCTATATGTCCTTGGTGCTATATTTATTAAAGATTTCAATAATTTTTTTTTTTTAAATCTGGGAATATATGTATATATTTTATTTAAAAAGATTTGGGTGCTAAATGTGAATGTTTTATTTGGCTTTGCCTACAATCAAATACCGGGTGAAACATTCATTTTGACTCCCATTTTTTTAAAAAAAACTATATACATAAGTCGCATGACGTCCAAATTATTGATTTTTTTTTTGTTAAAGTAACATAAAAATGTTTATAACCCAATAAATTTCAGATTAAGCTTTGTGTATGTGATATTTAATGATAATGTAATGGTGATTTTGGTGCAGATGTTCACGGTGAAGCTCTTGTTGCTGATGAACTTTGGAGGATTCTGTTTGATTCTCCTTCTCTGCCAATACTTAGCAAAAGGATCCACACGTGCGAAAATCATCGGAGGAATCTGTGTCGGATTCTCTGTTTGCGTTTTCGCTGCGCCGCTTAGCATTATCGTAAGTATATTACACTAAACTCTAGCTATTGTTACATATATAGTAAATGAAAATAATGTTTTAATTGATTTAATGAATAAATTAATTTTGTATTATATACAGAGAACGGTTATAAAGACAAAAAGTGTGGAGTACATGCCGTTTAGCTTATCCTTGACACTTACCATCAGTGCGGTCGTCTGGCTCCTTTATGGTCTTGCTCTTAAGGATATCTACGTTGCTGTAAGTCATCACAATCATTAGTTACGTAAAAATGGTTGCTTTTGTTTCTATGTACACGAAGTTATAATCATAGAGATATGGATTCACAAAAGTATAACTCTTTTGTTTGGTATTATTGTCGTTTTTTTTATATATCCCACAAAACGTTAAAGAGACTCACTTTTTGGTCTTTTAAAAGAAAAAAAACCTTAAAGATTTTATCTTTTTCAAAAAAGAGTTCAATAATACATGGAATAGCTTATTGCACGTAACTATACTATAACTTGACGTGGATCTATAAAGGGTAAAGCTCATATATAAAAATAAAAGTAGTTAATAATGCTTTGAGCACTATAAATAACCTTTTCATCTGTCGATTTTTGCAGTTCCCTAACGTGATTGGGTTTGTCCTTGGTGCACTTCAAATGATACTTTACGTGGTTTTCAAGTACTGTAAAACGCCGTCGGATTTGGTGGAGAAAGAACTCGAAGCTGCTAAATTGCCAGAGGTGAGCATCGATATGTTGAAGCTAGGCACACTAGTGGCATCTCCTGAACCAGCAGTGATCACAGTTGTGCGACCAGTGGACACATGTGTATGCAACGATAAGAAAGCTGAAGCTGAAAATGGAGCATGAAAATATGTTTGGCTATCTTTTGGCATTGTTGACTTTGTACTATTCTATCTTGAGACGCCTACCCATCATCATGCACGTGTATTTTTCTAAGTTTATCAAGTGTGACAAGTCGAGGATTAATTCTCTTGGGATTTACATTTTCCTAAGTTGATTTTTTCTCTTCTTCTTTTTTATTATTAGTGTAATGAAATTATCTATGGATATGAATATCATTTTATACTATTTGATCACTTACTATATCATTGTCTGAAGATCTCGGGATCATCCAGGTGAGCTCTAGCAAATTAGAGTCTTCAACCGATAATGAAGTAACCACAGTATTTGGATTCCAAGGTAATACTGAATCAGTTGAAGGGATGATATTAGCTCCGTCTTTAATTGGACCGAAATAATACCGAACCAAACGTTTCAAATCTTCAAGAGGCCCTAAATTTGTAAGGAAATTAAAGTTAGTAACAATTTTTGATATAAAATTAAAAAGTGTGAAATATGAAATAAAAATATGGCTTATTTGTGAAGTCTATACTAATAAAGTAGACTTTTTTTTTTATCTCCATAAGGTAAAAATGACACTTGTCATGCTCTCATTTTCTTAAAAATATTTTTGAATGGGCTTTGTTTTAAGTTTGGATTTGGGATTTTTTTATTAAAATTTCATCTATTTGGATTTTATATAAAATATTTTTGAATGGGCTTTGTCTTAAGCTTTTATATAATTTCATCTATTTGGATTTTTTTAAAATAGTATAAAAAGTGAAATGATGATAAGTATGAATTTTATAAACGAATATTATCGATAAATTATGAAAACTCATGAATGGATATAAATATTCACAAAAAACTTTTTTTTTGTAAAATTGTATGTAACTTTATATTTAAGATGAATAAAATATAAATTAAATACTACTATAAATAATGTTAACCATAAAAAGAAAATTTTGGTTTATGCATTCTTATTATAGGTATATTATGTTATATATAAATATTAAACACATTATATATATAAATATATAAAAATCTAATACAATAAAATATACCGACTTTTTCTCTACTTGGGGAAAAAGACACTTGTCATGCTATCGTTTTCTAGAAGTATTTTTGGTTGGGTTTTATTTTAGGTTTGGGCTTGAGTTTTTCTCATTAAAATTTGTTAGGCTTTTATATAATTTTATATATTTGGATTTTTTTTAAATAGTATAAAAACTAAATATGACGATAAGTATGAATTTTTTAAACGATATTATCTATAAAACTATGAAAACTCATGAACGGATATCAATATTCACAAAAAAAGTTCTGTAAAATTGTATGTAACTTTATACTTAAGATGTATAAAATATAAATTAAAACTACTATAAATAATGTTAACCATAAATTTTCTTATTGGTTATGCATTCTTATTATAGGTATATTATGTTAGATATAAATATATAAAAATCAAAATAAAAAACTATTAGGCCTTAGAGAACTTTTAGTGGTATATTAGGTTTGTTTCAAGTTTGTAGAATTTCTATTTATGATTTGATTAATGAATGTGACAAATTAAAATTATAAGAAAATAAAATGATCCAAAATTAATAAACATCTCAATAGTAGCAATTAAAATATTTTTTTAGTTCATCAATGATGATTTAGTATATGCTATTTAAACTACCTTTTGTATATAATATGAGAAAATAGATATATATATATATATATATATATATATATAGTTCATATATATATACTACTTTTTAATTTAATATATATATTTTATACAACTTAATATTGTGTTTTTAAAAAGATGATTATTTTTAACATCAAAACTGTTTTTGTTTTGTGAACTTTACTTTTATGAAATCACATTATGTATAAAGTATATTTTTCTTACCTTTTTTTCCTTTTGCAAACATAATTTTGTTTTTATTATATGAATATTTACTTTTTAGTTTTGAAGATATTTTAAAATATAAAAATTAAAATAAATTTATTATCCACATGATTTATTAAATAATTTTAGTAATAAAATTAGATATAAGATTTTCATTAATTACGGCTATTTATGTAATGAACCATCGTAAAAGTGAAGTGAGTGCAACACGCCGGAAACATACTTTTCAAATAATATTATAAAAATACATCAAATAGTTGTGGATTTCTATTACTTGGTTTAGCCTGATTTTTGATGATGAAAAAATTTCGAAATTTATTATTTTCAAATTTTTGCTGATGTGAAATTGAATAAACACAAAAAACAACGTAAATATATTTTCCAAATATAATAATCCATAATTATATAACCTAACATGTTATTTATAAATATTAAACCCTAAATTAATATCATATTTTAATGTTACTTGTTAATTTTTTTTAAAAAATAATAATTTTTTTTTTTATTTTTTTTTTTATTTTAAATAATAAACTTAGCAAGAAATTTATTAAAATCGATTAAATTCAAGAAAGTCAGATATTTTGAACAAACTGAAATACTTATATTTCTTATAAAATTTTAATATAGTTATATTTAATTTTGAAAAGGGGGAAAATACTAAAATTTGATAGTAAAAATAGTGAAAATTATAACTATAACAAAAATTTAAAATAGATTATAGCTAACAATGAATACATCAAATAGTTGTGGATTTCTATTATTTGGTTTAGCCTAATTTTTGGTGATAAAAAATTTGAGAAATTTATTATTTTTAATTTTTTGTTGAAGTAAATTTGAAGAAACACAAAAAACAACATAAATATATTTTTCTAAATACAATAATACATAATTATATAACCTAACATGTTATTTATAAATATTAAACCCTAACAATTATTATCATATTTTAATGTTACTTACTTAATTAAAAAAATAAAAATAAATTGGATTTTATTTTTTAAAATGTAAAGTAATAAAACTTAGCAAGAAATTTATTAAAATCTATTAAATTCAAGAAAATCAGATATTGTCAACAAAATAAAATACTTATATTTCTTATGATTTTTTTTAATATAGTAAAAATCTAGAAATTTTAAGGAAGAAGTACTAAAATTTGTAGTAAAAATTGTGAAAATTGTAACTATAATAAATAAAAAATTTAAAATAGATTATAGCTAACAATACATATAGATAGCTGTGGACTTTTATTATTTGGTTTAGCCTAATTTTTGGTGATAAAAATGAGAAATTTATTATTTTCAATTTTTTGTTGATGTGCATTTGAAGAAACACAAAAACAACATAAATATATTTTCTAAATATAATAATACATAATTATATAACCTAACATATTATTTATAAATATTAAATTGTGACAATTAATATCATATTTTAATGTTTCTTGCTTAATTAAAAAATGATAATAAATTGGATTTTCTTTTTAAAATTCTAAAATAATAAAACTTAGCAAGAAATGTATTAAAGCTATTAAATTTAAGAGAATCAGATATTGTGAATAAACTAAAATACCTATATTTCTTATGATTTTTAATATAGTAAAATCTATAATTTTTAAAAAGGAAAAAATACTAAAATTTTTAGTAATAATAGTGAAAATTATAACGATAATAAAAATAAAATTTAAAATAAATTTACATTGTTTCGTTCATTTGGTTATCCGCCTCTAGGGCGGGTTCCACCCTAGTAACTAAAAAAGAAGAAAAATTAATTTTGTAGAAAGAGAGTAGAGAGAGATTGGAAGAAGAAGAGGAGAGAGAGTGTAATTTTAGTTAGTTAGTAAATTATGGTGTTTTGTTAGTCATTAGGTGCAATTTCCAATAAAAGTATACCTTTTCTAGACAGTACGAGTTTCATGCAACCTCCCACAAAATAGGTTAACTGAGCAAAAAGGTTGAACAGTGCTGATTTGTCTACCTTTGCAAGTGATTCTCGATTACCCCATGAAATTTTGCCATGAAATGGATGACTGATTTAAGGTGAGAGAGACGAGCTTCGTCAACTTACCATGACAATTCAAATTCTGAATGATAAGAAGCTTAAGTTATAAAAACAAACTCGGAAAATTAAGTTATTGAACAAAAATAGAATACCATGATTGACAGCAGTGATTTCAGTATTAAGGAATTCGTTGAGATTTGGGAAATTAGATGCCGAGAAAACTTTTGTAGAAACCCTTCAAGGCCACTGTTTAAAAATCTTGCTTGAAAACACATGTAATCGTGTTCTATGAATGCACCAAAATCACCTTCATGCAGACTTGTATACTCAAAAAGCTATTTAAAAAAAGAAGTAAGTTTTTGTTAGATTTGTTAAAAGACAAACTACTAGAAACAAAGCTAATAGAAACAATACATCATTCGGAGAATCTGATGCCTAGACCAAATCCTCCAAAAGATGTGCTAATCCCATAGCATTTTGAGGATCTCTCGGAAAACCAGCTCTAATCACTAATGAGAGGTGAGACTTAGTGACCTTTCAGTCAGTTATCGCAATGACTTCCAAATAACTTTCAAGAGTGAATGATTCATAATCATTCCGGCTGCCAGAAGGTTTTTCAACATTAAGTTCCATTTTGCTAACATAATGAAAGCGACATCATCTATCACATCTAACATAGATTCAAAAAAAACTAAGCAAATCATAAGAAACAATGACATGAATCGAGTTAAAATCATACATTGATTAACACAAACATAAGGAGATAAAAACATAAGGAGATAAAAGTAGATCTGAAACTTTAAGATCAAGCGCAAGAGAACATGACATGTAAAAACACATAGATAATCACTTTAGAACATCAAAATCATCTAGGTAGGATCACTAGACGAGAGGCGAAATATGCTTGAGAATAGCATACCAATTTAGCTTAGCTCGGTGAGAGGTGAAACTGGTACGCAAGATAGGAAAATCCCCAACTGCACAAAAATTACACGTTGTATATGTGTACCAGAGCTACAAAGGCCGAAGATCATATAGTTGGACCAGTTAAAATTTAGTATTTTGATCCAAACAAATATCTATATGTGTATATCTGTAATTCAGATAATAGTAATTAATAGCTAAGTATAAAGCATCAAATTAAATTTAAAAAAGAAAAAGAGAGAGAAGAAGATTAAATCTAAGCAAGCTTAATATTTCAAAATTCAAGTTAATTTATACATTTCTATTAACCAACCTAATCAATTATACGGATCCAATGTTAAATCGAATGGACTTGATTAAGGTTAATAGAATTGGGGGGAGGGGGGGGGGGGCGGGGGTTAGTGGGCGATTGATTTGTAAATATTTGAAGAATTTCAAAATCTTGTTGTTATTGGTAAAATGATTCTTAAAATCTTAAGAAGTCTTGTGTTATTGATGTGATGATCTTATAATTCTATATAAATCTTTTGTTATTGGTGTGATGATTTTGTAACTCAATTTAAAATCTTTTGTTATTTAAAAAGTTTAGTATTTTCTGATTTTGTAATTCTATCAAACTATGGTGTTATTGGAACAATAATTCTATATATATTTTACTCATTAATCATGACTTTTAAAATACCATATTTAATCCATGTATTCTCAAAATTGAGATGACATAACTAATCTCTTTTTGTCAAATGATACGTGATTGCGCAATCTCACAACAACAATACCTAAACATTATTTTCCTACGAACAATTTTGCAGGCTGAATCAAAACACGTAGAGGTTCTTGTCAAACAAAGTAACATTAGCTCTAACGCTACTTTATCATGACCAGTACAAGGTCTCTAAAAGTATATACAAAAAGTGTGACTAGAAATGCTGAAGTATAACGAATATATATGACTATGCTATACTGATTCTTTTCTTTTATCACTCGTTGCAATCTTATGTAAAGTTAACTATAGTTAGTAAAAAATGGACAACAATATTTGTCACTAACAAACAGTTAAACATAAAAAATTTGCTCGTATTAACAACTTCATTTTTCCTCTTTATCTCTCGTGCTCGACCGCTACAAACCTTCTCTACAGAGAGACCCCACCCAAGTGTCTTCTTCTTATACCTCTCTCTCCTTGAAGAATTTTCTGTTCACATAAACTTCTTGATCTACTCCGTGAAAGAAGCTGACAAACACATACCAGAAGAATGCATCGAACCAGATGCTACATTCCATCATAATTTGGTGAACACGGTGTCATACATGGTGGGATTTATGCTTCAGGTTCGTGTTTGGGATTTTGTTATGCTGAAGATCCGAAGATATGAGTATTTTATCATAGGTCTAGGACATTTTGTTCACTCTTATAATTTAAGGTTTCTTCGCATCTCCTTACTTTTTGTTTAGTATCTATAATCTATCATATCTTTTGAACTAAATCTTTAAGGGTTTAACGTTAGTCTCTACCAATGTTTTGTTGCTTCTTTGTTCCATTTTCTTTTGTTAGCTGA